AGAAGAGAAGAATAATAGGGATCTTACATGTGGGAGGCTCTGGGTTTTATACCCAGCATGCAAACCATCAACACAGTTTGGATCCTGAAACTATAATAATCCAAAGTAGTATGGGTGATGGTACCTCCTGCCCTGCATGCTGAAGGTAAGGTCCATCCCAGAGGGGAAGAACCAGTGACTGACTTGGTGTCCTGGTGTTTATTTATTGTGTGTGTGTGTGTGTGTGTGTGTGTGTGTGTGTGGTTGAGGGCGAGGAGACACACCCAGCGATGCTCAGGGGTTTCTCCTGGCTCTCCACTCAGGCATCACTCCTGGAATTATTGGTCTTTATATGGAATATCCGGGATCAAACCCAGGTTGGACTCATACAAGGCAAATGCCTTGTCCTCTGTTTCATCTCTCCAAGTTTCCTCGTTTTTTTTGTGTTTTTATTTTTTTAAATTTTTGGGTGACACCTGGCGATGCTCAGGGGTTACTCCTGGCTCTGCACTCAGGAATTACCCCTGGTGGTGCTCGGGGACCATATGGGATCCTGGGAATCGAACCCGGGTCGGCCGCGTGCAAAGCAAACGCTCTACCCACTGTGCTATCATTCCAACCCCAGGTTTCCTGGGTTTTGATGGCACGAGAGGCAGTGACAGGGACAGAGGGCTGGAACTGAGGGATCCTGAGCACTCCACTCTCCCCAGCTACCTGCCGCGTGGATTGGGTAGAGAGCATTTGTTGTCTGAAGTGTCAGTCCCACGTGTGTCTGAACTCGGGAACTGCAGTAAAAAACTTTCAAAGACAGGCAAGCATGAACCACACAGGCATGGCTGTAAGGCACCATTTGTGGTCCTGGAAATTCTTCTAGAACCTATTTATCTTTCATCTATCACCCTTTTCTTCTTTTTTTTTGGCTTTTTGGGTCACACCCGGCGATGCACAGAGGTTACTCCTGGCTCTGCGCTCAGGAATCAGCCCTGGTGGTGCTCAAGGGACCATATGGGATGCTGGGAATCGAACCCGGGTCGGCTGCGTGCAAGGCAAACGCCCTATCCGCTGTGCTATTGCTCCAGCCCCTCCATTGTACTATCTTTCCACCCAAAGCTCTCAGCCTTCTGAGCTATCTCCATGACTCCAGGAGGGGGAAAAAAAAGATCTTTTTTAAAAAGTTTTTGGAGGGGAGGTTTGGGGGCAGCAGCGGTCAGGAAATCTCTCCTGGTGGTGCTAGGGGCTCTATGTGGTGGTGGGGATTTGATCGAGGTTGGGTCACCCGCGTGCAAGTTTTATTTTCCTTCTGGTCAACCCCTCCCCCCAAATTCTTAGAACTACTGGGAAATGAGGAAGAGGAGGCTCTCAACCATATTTGGGAATTTGTGGTTTGTTGTTTGGTAAACAAGGCCATGTTTATATACATGTGTATGTTTTTGTATATACACACACACACACACACTATATCTCAAGTCACTTCAACATACAATTTTATATCTGTCAAAGCCTTTGGACTCAGTAAGAAAAGCAGGGGACACCATCATCCAGGACACACACCTTTTTTTTTTCTTTTTGGGCCACACCCGTCAGTGCTCAAAGGTTACCCCTGGTTCTGTGCTCAGGAATTATTCCTGGCAGTGCTCTGGGGACCTTATAGGATCCTGGGGATCAAACCCAGGTTGGCCATGTCTAAGCAAATACCCTACCCACTATACTATCTTTGCTTAGGCCTCAGGACACACTCTTTGAGCACGGAAAATTGACAACATGCTAGCTTCTTGAACTTTAAAAGGGCAAATTTTATGGGGCTCACCCTAAAAAGCAATAAAAAGTATTTTTTGGGGGGGCGGCACTGTGCTCAGGGCTAACTCCTGGTTCTGTGCTTAGGGATCTCACGGTAGAGCTCAGGGAACCCCATGGGTTGCTGGGGACTTAATCTGGGTTGTCTGCTTGCAAGGCAAGCACCTCACCTGCTGTACTATCTCCCCAGCCCCCCAATAATATAAGTTATACGCAACACTTACCCTTACTTGAGGTGGCGCCTATTTATTATTTTATCTAATTTTTTGTTTTTTAAGCCACACTCAGCTGTGTTCAGGTCTTCTGTCTCTGCACTCAGGGGTCACCCTGGGCGGGGCTCAGAGGGACCATTTTTCGATGCTGGAGTGCAAGGCAAGTGCTCTACCCACTGTGCTATTGCTCTGGCCCCTAATTTATTATTTTAAATGTTATTTATTATTTATATATATATTTTTTGTTCTCAGCTATTCATTTATTCAGGAAGTGTTTACTTTTATCAAGTTTTTTTTCTTTTTTTTTCTTTTCTTTTTTTATTAGTGAAACACCATGAGGTACAGTTATAGGCTTACAAATTTTGTGCTTGGGTTTCAGTTATACAATGATCAAGTGCCCATCCCTCCACCAGTGCCCGTCATCCATCACCACGGGTCCCAGCATCCCCCCCACCCCTCATCCCCCCGTCCCATCCTGCCTCTGTGGCAGGGTATTCCCCCTTGTTCTCTCTCTCTTCTTTTGGGTACTGTGTTTTGCAAGAGAGGCATTGAGTGGCTATTTCAGTATTCTAAATTGGCTTAACTACCATTATGACTAAATTATCCAGTTCTTAATTTTATCTTTACAATAACTAAGAGCAAGAATAATTCTTTCAGGGCTGGAGTGATAGTATAGTATGTAGGGTGTTTGCCTTACACGCGGCCCACCCAGGTTCAATTCCCAGCATCCCATATGGTTCCCCGAGCACCACCAGGAGTAATTCCTGAGTGCAAAGCCAGGAGGAACCCCTGTGATCGCCGGGTGTGACCCAAAATGCAAAAAAAAAAAAAGTAATTCTTTCCCAACTTTATTTTTTGTTTTTGTTTTTGAGCTGGCACCTGATTGTGCTCAGGACTTACTCCTGGCAGGGTTCAGGAGGCTGTGATGAACCTGGGTCAGTTGGGTACAAGGCACACATTAGGATATTTATCCCTGGGCAGAGGGGACAACCCCAGGCAGTTCCTGCTCTTCACTGGACATTTTCTCAGTGCTTTATCTCATTTAATCTGCACCAAGGGGTAAGAGGGAGAGATAGCTCTAGGGGCTGAGGTCAAGCTCTGCATGCTGGAGGCTGGAGTTTGATTACTGGCACCGGATATAGTTCACTAGCACTGCCAAAAGTGACCCCTGTGCACAAAGCCAGAAACCCAGAAGGGTGTGGCCCAACTCCACACACACACACACACACACACACAACTTAGTCAAGAACTTCCTGGAGGCCAGAGAGATGGCTCACCGGTAAGGAACCTGACACTCAGCAGACCCCAATTTGATTCCTGGAACCTCATTATAGTCTTCTGAGCCCCGCCCCTAGCTGTGACACCCCCCCCCCAAGCACAGAGCCAGGAGTAATCCCTGGCCCTAAAACAAAACACCCCTCCCCCCCCAAAAAAAACAACCCCACAAAACTTCCCGGGATGGATACCAACAGTGAATTATATGGAGCCTGGAGAGGTCAAACACTTGTTTCAAGGCACCGGGTGATTCCAGATTCGAACAATTTCTGTAATAAAGACAGATAGTATTTTCCCTGCCGTGTGTGTGGTCGGGGGGGGGAAATGGAGGAGAGAGGGGAGTTAAAAAGGGAGGAGGGAGAGGAAAACCCTGGGCTTGGCAGGGTCTCAGTTCTAAGCAGCCACCCCCAGACTCGCATCTTTCGCTGGCTGTTTGGAGAACGCGGAGTGGGCGCGCGCGCGCATCCCAGTTGTAACTTTGCCCATGTGGGTTTTCCTTGGCTTCTCCGAGGAGGCTGTGCGCGCGCGCGCGTGTGCGAGTGCGCGCGTGCGTGCGCGCTGCCTTTGAAGTTCAAACTTTGTGCGGGCTACACGTTCCCTCCCCCGCTTCTCCCAGGTCTTTGCACAGCCCGTGGGGTGGGCTGCGTCGTCGGGACCACCCCCTCCCCGCGTGCAGCCTGCAGCTGCAAGTCTTCATTTATCTCCATCAGACTCCTAGCCCTCAGCCGGGACCCAGAGGCCGGTCTTTTCCATACGCGCGTCTGCCAAGGGCTCCCCGGCCCCAGCCGCCCTTCACGATCGGGGATGATGAATGAGGCTGCCTGGTGGGAAAGCGCCGTCGTCCCGAAAAGAGAGGGAAGGGGAAAGGAAATGGGGCGGGGGAGGGGAAGGGCTGCAGCCCAGGAGTGGGCACAATGAGCCTGGACACCCGGGACACCTCTGGGCAGTCGGCGCCTTTGCCTCCCGCGGAAAAGCGGGAGGACGCGTCCCACCCCTGCTGCATTTGTGCTGCATTTGACAATCTAAGTAGCGATCCGTCCAGGTCGCTCAGGCGCCTTCAGCCCTGGCAACGTTCGGTGCCCCGTGCGGCTCCGCGTCCTCCGTCTCCTCCCAGGCTCCCTCTCCGCACGCCCCTCCGGGTGCTGCCTTTCTCCGGCCGGGAGAAAGGCGGGGTCGCACCTCCGCCTCCTCCTCCTCCTCCTCCTCCTCCTCCAACCCCCCCCAGGCTCCTTTAAGAAGCGCCGGCTCCGCCCCTTTCGGAGTTGCCGTGTGACGCGGTGTGACAGCAGCGAGTTCGGTATGCCTATGCAAATGCGAGCGCGCCGCGGACCAATGGGGAGCGGAGGTGCCGGGACCGCGGACCAATGGGGCGGGGGCACTGGGGCTCGCCATATAAGGAGCGGCCTCGCCATAAAAGGAAACATTGTATCTCTTTATATGGGGGGAAGGGTCGGGGGATCCCTCCGCCGGCAGCGCGTGGTCCCGGCCCCCTCCACCCGCCGTCTCGGCCGCGGCCAGCAGCCCCTGCCCCCCGGGGGACGCTGACGGCCGCCGGGCGCGCCGCCCCAGCAGACGGACAGGGGGCGCTCCGCGCGGCCTGGGGCAACCCGGGCCACAGGGGCAGCAAAGTGCGGGCCCAGGTCGGCCCGGGCGTGCAGGGGCCCCGGGTGCGCGGCGGCGGCGGCGGCGGCGGCGGCGGCCGGAGGCGCCCGGGCAGCGGCGGCGGCGGCGGCGGGGGGCGCGGGGTCGGGCCGCGGAGCCGATGGCGGCGGCGGCGGCGGCGGCTCGGCTCCCTCGCTGACGGCCCGTCCGCCCTCCCGCACCGAGCGCCATGTTACCGAGCCAGGCTGGGGCCGCGGCGGCGCTGGGCCGGGGCTCGGCCCTCGGGGGCGGCCTGAGCCGGCCCCCGACGGGACGGCCGGGCGGCGGCGGCGGCGGGGCCCGCGGGGCTAACGGGGGCCGGGGGCCCGGGAACGGCGCGGGGCTCGGGCCGGGCCGCGGCGAGCGGGAGGCTGCGGCCGCCGCCGCCGCCGCCGCCGCCGGCACCCCGGCGCCCGCCGCGGGCGCCCTGTACAGCGGCAGCGAGGGCGACTCGGAGTCGGGCGAGGAGGAAGAGCTGGGCGCCGAGCGGCGCGGCCTCAAGCGCAGCCTCAGCGAGATGGAGCTCGGCGTGGTGGTCGGCGGGCCCGAGGCGGCGGCGGCGGCGGCGGCGGCGGCAGCGGCGGCGGCCGCCGGGGGCTACGGGCCGGTGGGCGGCGCGGTGAGCGGGGCCAAGCCGGGCAAGAAGACCCGCGGCCGCGTGAAGATCAAGATGGAGTTCATCGACAACAAGCTGCGGCGCTACACGACCTTCAGCAAGCGGAAGACGGGCATCATGAAGAAGGTACCGGGGCCGCGCGGGCTGGGCACGCGGCGGGCAGCGCCGCCGCCGCGGAGGTGAGAGGCGGCCCGCGGCGGCGGCGGCGGCGGGAGGTGTGTGGGAGGGAGGGAGGGAGGGAGGGGAGGGCTGCTCCCCCGGGTGGGGGCAAGGGGAGGGGCCGCCCGGGAAATGCGGGGCGAGGGGAGCCGCCCGGGTGGGAGTGCCGGGCGCGCGCCGGGCTGCGGACCCCCCCTGCGCCACCGCCACCGGTGGCCCGGGCCGAGCGAGCGGGACGCGGGAGAGCGCGGGACTGCCCGCCTGCCCGCCCTCCTGCCCTCCTGCCTGCCTGCCGGAGCAGGGGGTTCGGAACGGGGAGGGGGCCCCGGGTGGGCCCCGGGAGAGGCGCCCGCCAAGCCGGGAGCCAGGGGGAGGCAGGGGGGACGAGCGCTGGAGCCGGGTAACTAACAATGAGCCAGCCTGGCAGGAGGGGAGTGGGCACCCCTGGAGGAGCGCCGGCCGGAGGCGCAGACAGGGCTGATGAGTCCTAGGCAGGGCATGGAGCCCACCGGGGGTCGTGGCCCAGCCCCCTGGAGTCCGGGAAGGCTGCACACGCCCTTGGGACGGGCATCACGACCATCCGCCTGGGGGCAAGTGGGATTTGCAGAGGGAAGGCGGGCAGCGCTGCCCTGGGCAGTTCCAGAGAGGTTCTCCTAACGGGATACAGGGGGAAAAGGGCTCCTCGGGGAGCAGAGGAAGTGGGGAACCCGAAGCTAGAACCCCAGGAACACTGATTGCTGGTTTTCTGTGCGCCATGGGGAAGCCAGTTTCCAAGGTGGGCTGTAAAATTGGCAGGCAGTGAGGATACCAGCTGTGGGACCAATCTTGAGGGTCCCTGCTGATTTAGCAGTATGTGTTGTGTGTCATCCTCTCCCTCCCCCCCACCAGTCACTCCAAATACTATTTGTTGTATTAAGGCAAAGTGTGTGTGGGTGGGGAAGGTCTCCAGTATTATAGGACTGGACAGAAGGCCAACAGGTTAGGGCCTATGCCGTTTCTGGGACTAAACGTGGGACAGTTTCCAGCATGGGTGACGCCTTGCCCCTAACATCTTAGGGGACTTCCAGGTCCCCGTGACTGGTGGGGGCACTACAGCTCTTTGAGGCTGCAGGCACCAGGCACCAAGCTGTAGTGGGGAGCAGCGATCTGTGAGGGGCCCTGCTTTCCTTGAGCTTGTGGCCATATGTCGTTACCGGACTGTTTGCTTGGAGCATCTGTAGGTCACAGGGCTGCCCCTGTTGCAAGGACTTTGCTGCTCCCGCCTGCAACGGGATAGACGCCCCCACCCCCCACCGCCCAGCCCTAGCAGAGGAGAGTTTTCAGGGGCGGGGTGCTTGAGACTGTGTCCGGAGAAAGTTGTGCTGATGTCCCGTCTCCTTCGTCCTCCTCCAGGCCTATGAGCTGTCCACGCTGACAGGAACACAGGTGCTGTTGCTGGTGGCCAGTGAGACAGGCCATGTGTATACCTTTGCCACCCGCAAACTGCAGCCCATGATCACCAGTGAGACTGGCAAGGCGCTGATTCAGACCTGCCTCAACTCGCCGGACTCTCCGCCCCGCTCGGACCCCACCACGGACCAGAGGATGAGCGCCACCGGCTTCGAAGAGACCGACCTCACCTACCAGGTGTCGGAGTCCGACAGCAGTGGGGAGACCAAGGTGTGCAGGGGGACGACGGGGCGGGGCACGACCGGCAGAGAGGGGGGCGCGGGGGACAGGTGGACGGGTGGCTCCCCTGCAGGCGCGCCGGTGCCGGGTCGCTGCCCCTCGTGCGAGGGGCAGGTGTCCGTCCTCGCCGCTCTGACAGGAGGCCGGCCCCCCGCGATAAGCGGGCGGCCTCCGTGCCCATATAAGGCCGGCTCCGGCTCCACGCCGCCCTCCCGCCTGCAGCCCGCCCGCCTGGCAGGCCGCTCGCATTCCTGCAGCCAGCTGTCTCCCCGCGGGGGGCGGGGGCGGAGCGGGGCCCTCCCTGCGGGCTGGGTCTCCGGGGAGTCGGCCGGGGGCATGCTTGGGCTGCGGGGTCCTGGGAACCCAGCCCCGCCGCCAGCCCCGCCGAGCGCGGGCTGGAGACTCCCTCGCTAGCCAGCCGCCTACCTCTGCAGGATGTCCGGCCCGGCCGCTGGGGAGTGGATTCTCCAGCCGCCGGGGAAGCCGGGCCCTGGTGACGCCTCCCCCTTCCTTTTCCCGGTAAGGGGCGGGGGCGGGGCTTCCTCCTTGCCGGTTCGGAAGCCCCGCCTCCGGGGTGGTCCTCGGCCGGCGGGCCAATTGGAGGAAGCGGTACTGTTTGCCTTAGCAACGCCTCCGCCAATCAGGGGCTTCCCGCTCTGCTGCTTGGCAAACTTCTTGTGCCGACCCACCCCCCCAGTCTTTGAATGCCCCCCTGCGTTCTCGCTGGACTCGGGTCTCAGGCTTTTTTCCTTCCCCTTCTTGGCACACGGGCATCTTTTCCCGTCTTACTAGCGTGGCATCTGTGCTCATTTTTCGGACTTTGAGCAATTGGGTTCGTTTATGCCCAGGCACTTTTGCTGGATTAATAGATCCCTTTGGCAGGACAGAACTTGAAGATTTTTGACATCGCGTGCTTCGCTGTCAATCCCCAAACTCTCTCCAAAAGTCTGAATTCCATGACAAACTCTCAGTCCCCGTCTTGTGTAAATCAGAGCGCATCGGGGGAACTGTTCCATGGCCGAACCTTGCCTTGCATTTGTGAGGCCCTGGGATCAAGCCCTGGCATTACACAATAAAGAAAGAGGACATAGCAGTCCACCCACCTGTGTTTACAGAAAAGGAAAGGTGTGGCTCAGGAAGAGGAAGTAACGTGCAGGCTCACACACATGCTGGTTGCCAGGGCTGGAAAGAGACCCCAGGTTTCTTGATTCCCCAGCCAATTTTATAGTTACAGTCCAGATGTTTCCAGGCTTTTTTTACGTGCAGGTTCCCCGGTGTTGGTCTCAGTGGCCCTATGCTAGCCTGTGGGGTAGGTGTTCGCCTTTTACAGATCGGGAACTGATGCCAAGCAACTCTGTACCTTGCCCAAGAGTCAGGCAGCAGGTGGAACTGGGATCTGGACAACAGGCGCACTGGCTTCAGCCTGAGCTGTGGGTTCAGAAGCCCTCCGTGGAAGGCTGCGAGGAGGGCCCGCCAGGAGCTCAGCGCCTCTCTCTTTGCTCTGAACATAGGACACGCTGAAACCAGCATTCACAGTCACCAACCTGCCGGGCACCACCTCCACCATCCAAACAGCACCCAGCACCTCTACCACCATGCAAGTCAGCAGCGGCCCCTCTTTCCCCATCACCAACTACCTGGCACCGGTGTCTGCTAGTGTCAGCCCCAGTGCTGTCAGCAGTGCCAATGGGACTGTGTTGAAGAGTACGGGCAGTGGCCCTGTCTCCTCGGGGGGCCTCATGCAGCTGCCTACCAGCTTTACCCTCATGCCTGGTGAGTCACAGAGGACAGCCTCAGCATGCTCACGGCGGGCAAGGGCTGGCACGGGAGGAACCTCTTTCCCTACTGCAAGGGCAAGTGACCAGGGGAGAGCCCGGGAGAAGCCTTTGGTGTCCCTCTGTACACCTCCCCACCGGGACCCCCAGTTGTCAGTAAATTTCAGCCACGTCTGGCCTAGCTTGGCGCCACAGGGGCCAGAGCCACTGTCCTGCTTCCCCACCTTGATTTGAGGGCAGTGTTCACCCTTGAGAGGTCAGTGTCAGTCCCGTAGCAGCTGAATGGAGAGAGGGAAGTTTGGCTTGGGGCTGGGGGAGGGGGGGTCGGATAAGAGCAGCACCAAGAGCCCCTTTGGCCCTTATGGAGGGCGCTAGTTGTTGGGAAGTCGTGTGCCCGACTGGGGGGGAGGGGCACTGACGGGTCCTGGTGCAGATGGTGGTGGTTAGGACAGCAGCAAGTAAGTCTCTGTCTTCTAGGTGGGGCGGTGGCCCAGCAGGTCCCAGTACAGGCCATTCAGGTGCACCAGGCCCCACAGCAAGCGTCTCCCTCTCGCGACAGCAGCACAGACCTCACGCAGACCTCCTCCAGCGGGACAGGTATCGCTCCCAGCTTCGTCCCCTCACGGCTCTGCTGCCTGTACTGTGAGCAGCAGGGGCCCCGCATTGTCTCAGAGCCGAGGCCAGGGCATCTCTTCCTGGGAGACTCAGGTTTGGGGCTCCATCCTCCTCCTGCTCTGTCTGGGGAAGTAAGGTGAGGAGGGCTGAGGGTCCGAATCCTCCCCTGCAGTGGGGCTGTGGGTGTCAGGGGGAGCTGAGGGACCCCCGAAGGCCGAGCTCCTCAGCACTTTGATGACAAACCAAAGGCCCAGAAAGAGCCGTTTACTTGCCAAAGACACACATTTGCTTAATTACCAGGAAGAATTTATAGAGCAGTTGTGTCCTGTGGGAGCGAGTCCTGGGCGTTGAGCAAACCTCAGACTTAATTCCCCTCGAGTGTCTCGTCACTGCAGAAATGAGACACTTTTAAAATGAAATTGCTTTTTTTGTTGGGGTAGAGGCACACCCGGTGGGGCTCAGGAGTTCCTACTGACACTCTGCTCAGGGATCACTCCTGACGGGGCTCAGGGGACCATATGGGGTGTCCGGGATCAAACCCGGGTCATCTGCATTCAAGGCAAGTGCCTTCCCTGCCGTATACCATCCAGCACCCTGAAGTTGCTTTTGAAGTTCCTGTTATTTACGACCTTATTACATGAAGTGTGATCCCTGGATGGGGAGAACCAGCATCCTTTGGGAATTTAATAGAAATGCAGACTTCTGTTTCGGTAGTCGGGAGTCACCCCACCCAGCAGTGCTGTGGGCTACTGCTGGCCGCTGGGCTCCTGAGCCTTATTCTGAATCAATCTGCATTTTAATAGGATTCCCCCCCCCCGCCCCAGCCCCCCCCAGCCCCCCCCCCCCCCCCCCGACTTGATGCACATAAACATTTGAGGAGTTTTGTTTAAAAGATCAATGTAGGGGGCTGGAGAGATAGCACAGCGGGTAGGGTGTTTGCCTTACACACAGCCAACCCAGGTTCGATTCCCAGCATCCCATATGGTCCCCTGAGCACCGCCAGGAGTAACTCCTGAGTGCAGAGCCAGGAGGAACCCCTGTGCATCGCCGGGTGTGACCCAAAAAGCAAAAACAAAAAACAATGTAGGCGACAGTACAGTGGGGAGAGCATTTACCTTGCAGGCAGCTGACCGGGGCTCGATCCTCTGCATCTCATATAGTCCCCCAAACACCACCAGGGTAATTCCTGAGTGCAGAGCCAGGAGTAACCCCTGAGCATTGCCAGTGTGACCCTCCCCCCCCCCTAAAAAAAAAGATCAATTTAACCCTTATTTTAGAAGCATGGATGGGGGGGGGGAGTTGGAGCTCCTTAAAGGGGAGTGTCTTGAGTTTCTTTAGGGTGAATCAGTTGCTATTTTTCCCAGGGCCTTGGCATAGAGAATTCAGCAAATAGACAAGTGAAAACGATGATGCGTCTAGACACAGATAGATGTCGGTGTGTCCGGGAAGCACAGGGGAAGGCAGGTGTTGGAGCCATTTCTGGATCTGAGCTGAGAAGTGGCCCAGGGGCTGGACTTTGCAGTGGGGTGGGAGGATTGCATTGTAGAGGGACAGGTGCTGACCTCCCTGATGTGTGTCTGTAATTGCCAGTGACATTGCCTGCCACCATCATGACATCATCTGTGCCCACAACTGTGGGTGGTCACATGATGTACCCTAGTCCCCACGCAGTGATGTATGCACCCACCTCGGGCCTGGCCGATGGCAGCCTCACCGTGCTCAACGCCTTCTCCCAGGCGCCGTCCACCATGCAGGTGTCCCACAGTCAGGTCCAGGAGCAAGGTGAGTCGGGGTGGGGGTGACCAGGAAGGGCTCAGGAGAGGAGGCTCGTTTCTTCCCGTAGATATGAGCCATCAGGGGCCAGAGGGTGGTAGTACAGTGGTTAGAGCACTTGCCTTGCATGCAGCCAACCTGAGTTAGACCCCCAGGACCCCATATGGTTCCCCAGCCCTGCCAGGAGTGATCCCTGAGTGCAGAGCCAGGAGTAAGTCCTGAGTACTCTGGGGTGTGACCTAGAAAATGAAAAGAAAACAAAGTCGCAAAGTCCCCCTTCCTAGCTGCAGCTTCTGTCTGTCTGTCTTTTTCTCTCTCTCTCTCTCTCTCCCTCTCTGTCTCACTGTCTCTCTGTCTCTCTGTCTCTCTTACACCTAAAATCAAAGCTCCTTTGCAAACTCTTTGGAGAATCACAGTCACACTTGGCCACGCACCCGTGGGCACTTAGTTCTGAGACTCATTTTTCAAAACTCGCCAATATCTGGAAGTTTCTCTCGAGCCAGTGATTTGATGTCTTCTGGGGCTTTTCCAATGCAGGTGGCGTCCCCCAGGTGTTCTTGACAGCGCCGTCTGGGACAGTACAGATCCCCGTGTCTGCGGTTCAGCTTCACCAGGCAAGTAGAGGCCCCGTGGCCCTCCCAGCCAGCCAGCCACACCTTGACCTTGACCTTGGGGATTCTCTGGCCCGTTCTTTGAAGCAGTGGTGGGGATCCTGAGCTGGCCGGCAGCTCCCTGCCTGGCCCCCTTCCTGACACCCCCTTTCCCCCCAGATGGCGGTCATAGGGCAGCAGGCCGGAAGCAGCAGCAACCTCACCGAGTTGCAAGTGGTGAACCTGGACGCCGCCCACAGCACCAAGAGTGACTGATCCGCCCTGCCACCCTGGACAGGTGGCCCAAGGGACGGCACCACTTATTTATTGTTGCCTTTTCACGTTTTCTTTATACACATGTTGACGGGCCGCAGAAGAGATGGGGAGAGGAGCGGGCAGCCGCGGGACTGAGTCCTCTCACTCCAGCCAAAGAAACGGGCCGGCCCGCCCCCACGCCCCGTCCTCCCTCTGCTGTTGATGGTGGGGCTGCCCTCTCTTCTCCAGACTCCCCTTGCCAGCTTGGCTCCATGTTTGCCATGAGTATTAGCTTACCCAGTGGGACCGTGCCCCGCTTCCCACCGACAGGCCACTGTGGGACTGGGCACCGTGTGTCCCCCGCCCCCAACCAAGGAAGCAGTGGGGGTCCTCTCCCCGGCCTCCTTGCTGACCCTGCCGGGGTCAGTCCCGTGTCTGCCACAGGCTGGTCAGAAGCACCGTCCCCTGCCCTCAGGGAGCCAGCTGAGGAGACGAGACGGACTGCTTCCCTCCGGGGCCGCCCTGCCTGCTGCCCCGGGGAGTGGGGCCGGGCCAGGCCAGGCGGCCCGCCTGCCTGCCTGCCTCGCGGCCCGCGGATCTCCAGGGGCTTCCGGGCCGGAGGGAACCAACCAGGGTTCCCTTCTATCCCTGTCTTCCCCATCTCCTCCCGGCTGCTTTACTTAAAGTTGATTTTGAACTTTTTATTTGAGGAGACAAAGTGAAAACAAATCTATAAATATATATTTTTAAAATATTTAACTTTTTTTTTTAATGGCGTTTTTCTTGTCCCCTTCCCTGCCCAAGCTCCCCTTCCCTGGGGAGCCACGGAGCTTCCCCAGAACTGGCGGGGCCTTCTGGGGCACAGCCACCCCAAGAGCTCGGGGCATCCCCACCAGTCTGGCGGGGAGGGGAGACTCTGGCTCCGACCGGGTCCTGGATGGCTTCCAGGAGGGGCCCTCCGGCCCTGCCCCCACCCGGGTGGGGAGGGTGGCCCTCTTTCGCTCTTTAGGGTCATTGCTGGGCAGAGGACGAGGGAGACCAAACGTGGGAGTGGGCTGGGGAGGCGTCAGCTGGAGGCGACCGACTTCGTTTGCGCCACACGCAAGGGCATTGCAGCCTTGTGCTCCCTTGGGCCGGCAGCTGCCTGGGGCTCAAGTTGCAGTGAGCAGGGTGGAGGTCTGGGAGGGGTGAGAGGCCAGAATGGGGGGGTCTAAAGCAACAGAGCAGCTCTCGGGCTGAGGGCTGAGGCGACAGGGGAGCCAGAAGTGGACAGCTCTCCCAGGGAGTAAGCAGCTACTGTAACTTTTTTAAATTAAGACAAAAAGCCTTGAAGAAAATGACTTTATTTTTCTAAGTGTAACCTCAGTATTTATGTAATTTGTACAGGGGCCGTGCCCTTGCCCCCTCTGCCCACTTTGGGGTAGGCCTGGCGGGTGGGCCAGCGTCGGGGGAGGGTCTTTTACCCTGTGTCAGAACCTACCTTCACCGCCTGCGTCCAGAAGGGGAGCTCTTCCAGAACCGGGCAGCACTTGGGGTGCCGTTCTCCTGATCCCTCTGCCAGCCTGCAGTAGGAGCCAGCTTGCTTCTGTGACGAGGTGAAGGGCGGGGACCGTCTTTGCGCACAGCCTAGCTATCAAGGGGAAGATTCGCCTACGTGTTTGAGAGCCCCCTGACCTCTCTCCCCAGTGCTGTCTTGCCCCGCTTGGGGCCGCGCTGATGGACGTCACCGTTCTGGGCTTTCTCCTGCAGATGGCTGGAGCTGGCAGGCGACTGGCAAGGCTAGGGCATGGCAAATCAGGGGCCAGGGAGGAGGGGAGCTTGGGACTCAGGTCTGTAACTGCCCAGCCCCCTTTCTCTGCTCTTGTTTCACTCCGCGATCACTCACTCCCTCCCTCACTCCCCACCCCCAGGGAGGAGACCTTGATGAATTCCTCCTCTCCTTCCCACGAAAGACAGACCCAGTGAGTGAATCAGGCAAAGTGCTTATAACGTGTGTTGCGTGAGCGTGGCCTTGGGAGAACATGCGAACGTCAGGGAGAAGGTGGCATTTCTATGTGCAGCGACCCTTGGTGTTTCCCTTCCTCGGTGGCTCTGGTGCGTGTGCGTGCATGGGTGTGTGTGTGAGCGTGCGTGAGCGCGTGTGCATGTGAGCGCAAGCTCGTGCACGTGGGTGAATGTGGGGTGTGTGTCAGTGGTTTCTACTTCCCCTGGGATGCTGACCCAGGAATAGTGGACATGGTCACAGTCCTATGTACAGAGCTTTCTTTTTTGTATTGAAAAAATACTCTTTCAATAAATGTATCATTTTGTGCACAGACTGTGGGGTCTTTGCCTTCATTTTTGGGTCGTGGGCAGGGTGAAGAGGAATCAGCTCAAACCACAGCCCTCCCCCTTACTACTCTGAGAAACATCTGGCTGCTTGATTGGGAAAAAGCCGTTTGGGGCTATTGAAGGAACAGTGGTCGGGTTGGGGGACGGACTCGGCACTGTTTGTTTGGGGGCCACATAGGGTGGCGCCCAGGGAGCACCTGGAGCCAAGAAACCCAGGTGGGCTGCGTGTTAGGCCCTCTATTCATTTGCGCGATTTCGCCAGGTCCTCAGGCCAACACCCCAGAGACTGAACAGGAAGGGTGACAACCAGCTCACATCCTCAGCGAGGGTCTCGGGACCCCGGACGGGAGGCGACTCAAAGGACAGCCCCTGGGGTGGGCGTGCCGGGGGCCGGGTCCCGGCGGACGCGGAAGGGGTGGGGGACCCCCACGGGAAGGGAGGGGGCTGCAGAGCCGACCGCGGCGGGACCGGGCGGGCCGCGGGGCCCGGCGCGCGCTCGCGTGGGCCCCCGCGGGGGCTCCCGGGCAACGGCCCGCGGGCAGCATGCATGCTCCGCGCGCCGGGCTGGGCCTCGGCGGGACCCGTCGGCGGGGTCCGCGCGTGCGCTCGCCGCGTGACCGGAAGGGGGCGCGGAGGAGGCGGGGCCGGGCGAGCGGGACCGGCCGGGGCGGCCTCGGCTGCGGGCGAGCTCGGAGCCCGAGGTAAGCCGGGGGCCGCGGGCCCCGCCGCCGCCGCCGCCGCCGCCCCCTCCCCGCCCCGTCGGCCGCCGCCGCCCGCCGCCCGGCCGCCACGCCCGCCCAGGGGCTCGGCCGTCGCGCCGCGCCCCTCGCCCCCGCGTCGCCCCTCCTGGCCGCCCCCGGCCCCCTCCCGGCCGGCGACTCGCCGCGCTGAGGGCCGCGAGCGGGGACGCGGGGCGGGAGGGGCCGGGACCCGGCTCGCGCGCGGCAGCCCCCGCCCCCGTCCCCGTCCCCGCACGGGGTCCTCGGCGGCCCGCGACACCGACCCCCGAGGCCAGCGAGCGAGCGGGCGAGGGAGCTCGGCGCCGCCACTGGAGTGCGGGGGGGAGGGGTCCCACCCTCGCCCCGACCCCGCGCCCTGCCCCGCCGTGGACGTCCGAGCCCGAGCACCGCCTCCGTCCGTGCCACTCGCCGGACCCGCCGCGCGCCGCCGCGACGAGCCACCCTGGAGGCAGGCGGGGACCCTCTCCCTGCTCTCGTGTCATCTGGGCGCTTGGCTGGCCCTGCCCCTGCCCCCTCCTCGCTGTGGGGCTAGCCCCCCCCCCAACACACACACACACACACACACACACACACCCCGCTTTGTGCCAGCTCCCGGCCCCTCCCCCAAGTCCCCGGACAGGTCCCCTGTCCCCACGCCCGTCTTGCCACTTTGCAGCTTTCCGTTATTCTTCTGCCTTCCACGTGACTTGCCTCACTGCTTCTCGCTCCGCTTGATAGCCTGCTTTCTTTCTTTCTTTCTTTCTTTTTCTTTCTTTCTTTCTTACTTTTTTTTCCTTCTTCTTTTCGGGTCGCACCCAGCGATGCTCGGGGGACCATATGGGATGCCGGGGGTCGAACCCGGGTCAGCCGTGTGCACGGGCCACCCGCCCTACCCGTGGTACTTATCGCTCTGGCCCCACAGCTGATCCTTCTCGTGCTCATCTGTATCCCTTTGCCTCCCTGCTAGCTGATCACTCTATTTCCTTCCCGATTCTCATCTCTCACTTGTCATTTTTTTCTTCCTACCTCTCATCATCTCTCTCATAGCCTTTTTTTTTTTTTGCTTTTTGGGGTCACACCCCGCGATGCACAGGGGTTACTCCTGGCTCTGCACTCAGGAGTTATTCCTGGCGGTGCTCAGGGGACCCTATGGGATGCTGGGAATCGAACCCGGGTTGGCCGTGTGCAAGGCAAACGCCCTACCCGCAGTGCTCTCTCTCCAGCCCCTCATAGCCTTTTTCTTACACTTTATTTTTTCTTCTTGTTTTGGTGTTTGGGCCCCCCAGGGGATGCTCTGGGCTTACTTCTGGCTCTGTACTCAGAAATTGCTCCTGGGGGGGACTGAGACCTTAGGCAGTGCTGGGGGTTGAACTGGGGTCAGTCACATGCAAGGGAAGTTAAACCCCATACTGTCTCTCCAACGCCAAGCTCTGTCTTTAGGGCTGTCTATGTTTCCAGATGGTCATTATTTGCTCCCATTATTTTGGGGTCACACATAGTCGTGCTCAGGGCTTGCACCTGGCTCTGCACCCAGGGGTGACTCCTGAAAGGGCTGAGGGGACCATATAGAGTTCCTGCAACCAAACTGGGTCGGGAGAGTGTAAGGTAATCGCCCTACCGGCTGTACTGTTTTTTCAGCCCCAGTTGTCTTAATTTTTTATTTTTTCTTTGATGTATGCTTTTTAGCCACACCGGGTATGATGTTCAGGGTTTATTCCTAACTGCTCAGGGATCAATCTTGGCAGGACTGGGGGAGATTATACGGTATCAAGGATCGAACCTAGAGCACCCCGGGTAGAGCAAGCATCTTACCCACTGTACCATCCCTCTGCCCCCTTTCCTTCTCTTCCCTGCTCTGTGGTCAGCGGTCACTACTGGTGGTGTTCAAGAACCAGATGTGGAGCTAAGGATTTCTGACTAGGTTGGTCAGGATGCAGGGCAATGGTTTGGCCACACCTGGCAGTATTCAAGGGTAGCTCCTGACTGTATACTCCAGAAATACTCCAGGTGTTGCTTGGGGGACCAGGTGGGATTCTAGGGATGGAACCTGGGTTGGCTGTGTGCAAGGCAAGCACCCTACTGCTGTGAGGCTGGGGGGCTGGTGGTTGGGGCCACACCTGGTAGTGCTCAGAGCTTACTCCTGGCTCGGTGCTCATGGTCACTCTTGGTGGTTTGAGGGACTATATGTGGTTCTGGGGATCCAACGGGTGTTATCTGCATGCAAAGCCAAGTACCTTAACTGTTGTACTATCTCTCAGGTACCTCAATTTCCTCCTCCCCCCAGGTGCAACCACCATTTTCCATTTCCTAACCCACTTCATTTCATCCTCATTATTTTCCCCGTGCTTTTTTCTTTTTTCTTTTTTTTTTTGGCATCACACCTGGCGATGCACAGGGGTTACTCCTGGCTCTGCACTCAGGAATTACTCCTGGCGGTGCTTAGGGGACCACATGGGATGCTGGGAATCGAACTCGGGTCTGCCGCGTGCAAAGCAAACGCCCTCCCTGATCTGGCAAGGAGGAGGAGGAGAGATGATGATGATGATGATGATGATTGCTTTTTGGGTCGCACCTGGCGATGCTCAGGGGTTACTCCTGGCTCTGCACTCAGGAATTACTCCTGGTGGTGCTTAGGGGACCACATGGGATGCTGGGAATCGAACCCAGGTCGACTGCGTTCAAGGCAAACGCCCTACCTGCTGTGCTATAGTTCCAGCCCCTTCTCCGTGCTTTTGTACATTTGAACATGTGTCCACCACTTCCCCCATTCTCTTCTCAGCCTTTTCTCTCTGACCTCTGAATTTGATCATATAACCTACCCGTCATACTCACTCTCTGGAGGTTCTACCCCCTCTGTGTGATTTTCCTTTTCCAGACTCACTCTGTGTTTCTCTCCTTTCCTAGGCGGTCAGCATGGTGGGGGAACGGTGCTCCGGGGACCTCATGATGGTGGTACCCCTGGGTCCGCAGCTGAAGGCGTTCCCCGAAGAACTCATTCGACAGCGGCTTGGCCACGATGGGCGCCCCGAATACCTGATCCGATGGAGTGTCCTCCAGTGTAGGGAAGTTGGCAGAGTGGGTACGGAAGAGGGCAAGGCAGAGTACATCCTCATGTGGCTTTCTGCCCCCGAGGTCCACGCTACCTGCCCCATGCTGATAAGAGAGTGGGTGCTGTCGAAGGGACCTCAGCACGAACCAGTGGGGGGTCTAAGAAGCTTTCCCCGAGATCCAGGCGGCTTGGATGATGCAGCCATGGGAGAGATGGAGGCAGACGTGCGGGCGTTGGTGCGCAGGGCCACCAGACAGTTGGCAGAAGGCGGCACGTCGAGCCACACGGCTGCAGTCCTCCACACCGTCCACGTGCTCAGTGCCTACGCCAGCATCGGGCCCCTCGCGGGAGTCTTCCGGGAGACGGGGGCCCTGGACCTGCTGATGCACATGCTGTGCAACCCTGAGCCTCAGCTCCGCTGTAGTGCGGGCAAGATGCTGCAGGCGCTGGCGGCCCACAGCACTGGTAAGTGATCCTAGGAGGGAGGAGAGGCAGAGTCCCAGCGCCTACTCCTGGAGGAAGCACTGAAGGGGGAGTACTGTGGCTGTAGGGCAGTTCTCAGAATCCTCTGCCTCTCCTACACACACCCCCCTAGTATTGCTTGTTGTTACTGTTTTTGGCATATCGAATATGTCACAGGGAGCTTGCCAGGCTTTGCCGTGCAGGCGAGATACTCTCAGTAGCTTGCCGGGCTCTCCGAGAGGGGCGGAGGAATCGAACTCGGGTCAGCTGTGTCAGCTGCGTGTCCTACCCGCTGTGTTATCGCTCCAGCCCATCAATTCAGTACAAAGGAAAATTAAGAAGTGCTGACAGGTCTGGGGCCGGAGCGATAGCACAGCGGGGAGGGCGTTTACCTTGCACGCGGCCAACCCAGGTTCAATTCCCAGCATCCCATATGGTCCCCCGAGCACCGCCAGGAGTGATTCCTGAGTGCATGAACCAGGAGTAACTCCTGTGCATTGCTGGGTGTGACCCAAAAAAGCAAAAAAAAGAAAAGTAGTGCTGACAGGTATTTGATGATGTAATTGTAGCATGTGGTTTGCTTGTCTGTTACTTTATGCAGTGGCAAAGAGAGTGGAATGGGTTTGTCTGTTTACTTAGCGTTTTGGATGCTCGGCGGTGGTCAGGGCTTACTCTTGGCTCTGTGCTCGAGGATCGCTCCGGGCAGGGCTCAGCACAATAGGCAATGCCAGGGATTGACCTGGGGTCAGCTTTATGCGAGTTACTTTACCCACTGTACCATCTGTTCAACCCCAGGTTTATCTTTTAAAACCTGGTTGAACTTTATTTGTTGGGGCTGTGAAATTAGTTTGGAGAGTTGCAACCAACGTTAAAAAAAAAAGTGTAGAATAGTGGAGAGCATGCTTTGCATGCAGGCGCCCAGGTTCAATCCCCTGGAACGTGGTGCCCTAAGCGCTACCAGGTATGGCTCAACTCCCCCGCCCCCACCCTACTCCAAAGTGTCACGTAATATGTAACAGTTTTGTGGCATGAAATGCAGTCTCAGGTATTTGTTGGGGTTCGTTTTGTTTTGTTTTTGAGGGAGTAGGGAGCATACCTGCTGGTGCTTAGAGTTTACTCCTGATTTTGCAAACAGGGATCACTTCTGGCAGGTCTCAGGGGACCATATGGCATGCTGGGGATAGAACCTGGGCCAGCTGCGTGCAAGGCAAGCACCCTACCGTGGTAAGATTGTTATTATGGGGCTGGAGCTACAGTACGGCAGGTCAGGCATTTGCCTTGCACACAGTGGACCCAGGTTCGATCCCCGGCATCCCCTATGGCCCCTGCATCCTACCGGGAGTGATTCCCTGAGCTCAGAGCCAGGAGTAAACCCTGAGCACCACCCAGTGTGGCCCCAAAACAAACAAAATCTGTTACTATGGTGGGACTCAATTAGAGTCTCTGGTGGAGGGAATAGAGAGCTAGAAAAGGAAGGGGGAAAGTGGTGGGGACCGAGGGGACGCTATGGACTGGCTGTGGTTTACAGGGAGTCGGGCTCACGTCCTTCTGTCACTGAGCCAGCAAGATGGCATCGAGCAGTGCATGGACTTTGACAGCCGCTATACCCTGCTGGAGCTGTTTGCAGAGACCACCTCCTCCGAGGAGCACTGCCTGGCCTTTGAGGGCATTCATCTGCCTCAGGTACCTTGGTGGCCGTCAAGGCCGTGGGTCTCTCTGAACAGGTGCTGTCAGCCCTCCAGCCAGCCAGGGAGCCATGCCCATGCTCACCCTCCCCCGCCTTTAGGATTCCGTCCCGGAAATCTGTTTGCCAGTGCTCCCTGTGTGTTTCTTCCTAAAACTGAAGGGATGGGAGAGCAAGCCAGGCCTTGAGCTGATTCCAGGCAGGAGGATCTAGAGGAAGAGGCTGAGGGATTGATACTGGGAGAAGCTGAGGTTACTCCGGGACCGTGTCCTTGCAGATCCCAGGAAAGCTGCTCTTCTCCTTGGTGAAGCGTTACCTGTGCGTCACGTCCCTGCTGGATGAGCTGAACCATAGTCCACAGCGGGGAGCTGGAGACGGGGGCTCTGTGTCGTTGGCGCCGCCGCCCCCGGAGGACGTGGGTCGGGAGAAGACCCGGGCACAGCGGGAGCTGGAGTTTAGCCTGGCCGTGGGCAGCCTCATCTCCGAGCTGATGCGGAGCTTGGGCTGGGCCTGGAACCTGGGCGAACTGGCTGCAGGGGCCCGACCGCCGGGGCCTGGCCGCTCCATCTTTCAGCCCTGCGTGTCAGGGGCCGGCCTCTCCCTTCCCGCCGTCCCGGTGCCTCCCAGGAGGTCAGACCGGTCCTTCCGCCAGCGCGCAGAGTTCTCCAGCCGCAGTGGCTACGGCGAATACGTGCAGCACACGCTGCGGCCTGGCATGCGCGTGCGGATGCTGGATGACTACGAGGAGATCAGCGCGGGCGATGAGGGCGAGTATCGGCAGAGCAACAACGGCGTGCCCCCCGTGCAGGTGAGGCCTGGGAACAGGGGCTGGCTCAGCCGGGGCAGAGCTGGGGTGTCCATCCAGGTGGGGTGGCACTGGTTAGTTCCCCAAGGAGCAGATGCTGAGGAATGGCCCAAGGATGAGCCAGCGGTCAAGAGACGGGGGAGCTGCCAGGAAAGGCAGAGGAAGTTTGGCGTCACCAGGTGAACCCTGAAGTCTGGGAGATACTTGCAGGGCACACAGGTCACGGGGCCCTCCCCGCTCCCTGGCCTCCGTCTGGATGAGTGTATTGAAGTGGAAGCCACGTGGGCTAGGAAGGGTCAAAGGCAGGGTCTTACTGTGGCACGAAGGAGCCTTTTGCTGGCCAGAGCAATGGAAAAGCATTTGCCTTGCACACGGCCCACCCGGATTCGATTACCGGCCCCCCGTGAGGTCCTGGAGCCCCAGCAGGAGTGATCCCTGAGTGCAGAGCCAGGAATGTGCCCTGAGCGCAGTCAGGTGTGCGTGTTGGCGGGGAGGGGAGCAGGGGGAAAAAAACGAAACTGAGCCTTTTACCAGATGGGGCTTTTTCCCGGCCAGGCCCCTGGGGCCTCTTCAGCCCGCACAGCCCAGCGCCTGGCCTCTCCTGTGCCCTCCTTCCCTCTCAGGTTTTCTGGCAGTCAACAGGCCGCACCTACTGGGTGCATTGGCACATGCTGGGGATCCTGGGCCCCGAGGAGGTGACTGAGGATGCGGCTTCGGGCGCCGTGGAGAAGGGGTCAGCAGAGACTGTCCTGAGCACAGGTAACCTTGGCAGGGGGTGTGAGCACGGCGTCTCTGAGCCGACAAGGGAGTGCTGGGGACGACGTGTGCCCAACCTGGACACGGCCAGCCGCTGAGCCGCCGCCTGTGTCCCGCAGCCTTCCCCCCCTGGGACTGGAAGCCGGTGGACGGGCTCTACTCCCTGCCGTACCTGCAGCCCGAGCAGCAGACGCCCGAGGACCTCCAGCGCTTGAGCCAAGCTGAGTGGTGGCAGCTGCTCTTCTTCATCAGGAAGTTGGATGCCTGTGAGCAGGAGCCGCTTTTCCAGAGCCTCCAGAAGAACCTGGATGAGGTATCGCAGGCCTCAGACACTGAGTAGTTCGCAAGCGGGTTGGAGGTGGGATTTTGTTTTGCTCTGGGGCCACATCCAGTTGATGCTCAGGGCTCACTCCTGGTGATGCTTGGGAGAGCAGCGGGGTGCCAGGGATCGAATTCAGGTTAGCTACGTGCACTAGTCACTATACTGCCTCTGGCCCCTCGAAGTGGGATTCCCCCACCCCCCGCCCCGGGGAGATTGAGCCCAGGGGGTAGAGCACATGCCTCGCTTGTGCATTGCCCTAAGTTCCATCCCCAGCACTCATCTCAGCTCTCCCATCCCCCAGGCACTGCTAAGTGTGGTCACTATTTTTTTTAAAAAATCAATCAGGGACTGGAGTGATAGCACAGCAGGTAGGGCGCTTGCCTTGCATGTGGCTAACCCGGGTTTGGTCCTTGGCACCCCACATGGTCCCCTGACCCCACCAGGAGTGATCCCTGAGTGCAGAGCCAGGAGTAAGCCCGAGCACAGCAGGATGTGGCCCCAAACAAAACAGAAATCAGCAAAGGGCCTCAGGTGGCTGAGGGTCCAGAGGGCCGGCTGGGGAGAGTCCAGTATCTCAGGTGGCCACCCTCTGTTCCTTCCAGAGAGCTTTGTGTCTGCTTGTCCCTGCAACGCACCCCCTCTCTTTTGACAGACCCCGGCTGAGGGAGCCCTGGGCGAGTTGAGCGTGCCGGTCGAGATGGCTGAGGGGCTGCTGCAGGTGCTTCGGGATCGGCTGGAGGGCAGCGCCCTCAGCGACCTTCTCAGCTCCCAGATCTACACCAAGTACGGGCACCTCCCCGATGCACCAAGCCGCTCGCCTTCACAGAGTCACTCCCGGACCCCGGACCCTCAAGAGGAGAGCAAGGCTGAGGCCACCTGCTCGGAGGATGACACCGAGTCCCCCACAGCCAAGGCCGAGTCCCCTCAGGCAGGGGCAGAGGCAGAGGCTGCCGGGAGACAGACTGGGCCTCCCGTGGCGCAGAGTGATTCTCAGCTGTTCAACCAGCTGCTGGCATCGGAGGGCATGACTCTGCCCGCCGAGATGAGCGGTGAGTCGGGCTTGGTTGCAAGGATGGGGAAGCCGACAGGCCCTGGGTGGTCCCCAGAGAAGAGAGGACTCAGGGCAGAGGGTCCAGCAAGGGTGCGTGGTCACACAGGCATGGGAAAGAGATCTCTTTGTTTTGTTTTGGGGTCACACCCAGCAGTGCTCAGCGTTTATTTCTGGCTCTGTGCTCATGGGCCACTCCTGACAGTGCCCAGGAGACTCTGTGGCATTAGGGAGTGGACCAGCCCCATGCAAAGCCAGCACTTGACCCCTGTTCTGGCTCTCCAGCCCCTGGGACCCACCTTCTCTGAGCTTGATTCCGTCTGATGAGTCCCTGCTCCCTGTGGGAGGAGGAACCATCCTCAAGAGCACCTGTGTCTTCCTGTGGGGGCAGTTCAGTCCCTCCCAGGGCACCGGGTGGTCTGGACCAAGTCATAGTCTGGCCTGTGTGTTAGATTGTCGCTGGGATGCCTGGCTTGCACTTGTGAGGCCCTGGATTTAATCGCTGGTTAGAAAAGTTTTCTGCCTTGGAGGTGCCCCCTTTGTTGCTTCTCTTTGCCGTTGTGATGAGCAGAGCTCACACACACCAGGTGGCGGCTCTTGCTGGGGCTCACACATCCTCTTGTGCTCGCACACGTTGTAGAATGCCAGGAGCTGCATGCTTCGTCGGGGCTCCTAAGATCACACATGACAGTGCCACCAGCTCGCACTTGGCAGATGGGATGGGGCCAGGGATCAGACTCCGACTCATACCGTATTGCTGGGTTGTCCCCAGGTTCTCTGCAGTAATTTTGTGTTGTTTGATTCTGTTTGGGGCTACCACACCTGGCAGTGCTCAGGATGCACTCCTGGTTCTGTGCCCAGGTATCACCTCTGGAACCAGATGGGGTGCAGGGAATCGAGCCCAGGTCGGCCTCTGTTGTATCACTTCAGCCCTTGGGATTTTTGTTTGCCTGATGCCCTTTTCTTCTGTTTCAGGAGTGGTCAGAGCTTTGCGAGCCCCTGGTTCCCACAGCAACCTGGATCTGCACGTGGCGGTCATCGGGGCCACGGTGCAGATCTCCAGCTCCAACACCAGCCTGCAGGTGGAAGGGCTCTCTACGCTGTCTCTGGCTGTGGAGGAGGCCACAGACAGGAACCACCCTCTCGTCCGTCCTGACAGAACCCTGAGGTTAGTTAGCATGCAGAGGAGAGGGATTTGGGTTTTAGCTGATGGTAGAGCAGGTGGTGGGGAAAGAAGGAGTCCTTTTGGGGGCTGGAGCGATAGCACAGCGGGTAGGGCGTTTGCCTTGCACGCGGCCGACCTGGGTTCGATCCCAGCATCCCATATGGTCCCCTGAGCACCGCCAGGAGTAAGTCCTGAGTGCAGAGCCAGGAGGAACCCCTGTGCATTGCCGGGTGTGATCCAAAAAAAAAAAAAAGGAGTCCTGTCGGGTGAAGGGAGGCAGCGCGCAGGAGGATGGGTCATTATGGTTCCTGGAGCATGTTTCATGCCGGGTGCCGCACCCACAGTTGCCCTTGCATTCTCTAGTCTCCAGTCACCTAAGAGTTAATGCTGCTTTGGGTCTGGGGCCCACACCCAAACATTTGGCTGTGAGGGCAAGGCTTCGGCCACACTTGCTCCAGCCCTTTGAGCCATCTCCTCAGCCTCCTCAAGTACCTTTTCGTGGGGTCGCGTGGAGTGGTTTGGGACACAGCTGCCCTTGCTGGCTGTTTTCAGGGACTGTTCTCAGGTACGTGCCCATGAACGACCCCTGGTGGTGCTTAGGTACCCATAATGTGTCAGGATTTGAACCAGGCCTGACTGTGTGCTGGGCAAGCACCTGCCCCCCTAAATTATCCAGCCCCTAAAATGTAACTTTCACTGTTTGAGGGTGGAGCGGGGTGTTTCAAACCACACTTGGCAGTGCTCAGGACCCCCTGGTACCAGAGATGGGATCCAGGGCTCCAGCTGACTATGCTCCCCTCCTGGCCCCTGTTTTCGGCTTTTTTTTATGGCTTCCTGACTTTAAGGTGGCATGATCCTATTTCAGAGTATGGAAACACTTTCTTGTTCTTCCTAAAATATATCTACGGTCTTGTTTGGTTTCTATCCATATTTGTTTTAGAGTCTGTTTGCCATTTGCTTTTGCCCGTGGGGTGAGGCAGAACTTGGGCATGGGCACGGTGGGGTATGGGGGATGGGCAAGGTCTCTGCCGTGGTTTACACGCCCCCTCCCATCCTCACTGCCTGAGTACAGCTCCCTCTTATTTCTTGACCTGTTTGGCTACACAGTCACTATCAGAATTTCCTTTTTTTTTTTTTAAAGACGAATTTCATTTTCATCACTAGTTTTTTTTTTTTCTCTAAAACTTCCCTTGACCATTGTTGTTTATTTTCTTCCTGTCCTTGAATCTGTTCGCTACCCGTGCCGGAGCTATAGCACAGTGGGGAGGGCATTTGCCTTGCATGCGGCAACCCAGGTTCAATCCCCGGCATCCCATAATGTCCCCTGAGCACCTCCAGGAGTGATTCCTAAGTGCAGAACCAGGAGTAACTCCTTAGCATCGCTGGGTGTGACCCAAAAGGCCAAAAAATAAATTTAAAAATTTTTAAAAATCAAGAAGGCGTTTGCCTTGAATCTGTTCACCATGATTTAAAAAATAGGGGCCGTGGTGATAGTACAGGGTTTTTGCCTTTTACGCAGCCAACCTGGGTTTGATCCTTCACATCCCATGGTTCCCCCCTAAGCACCACCAGGAGTAATTTCTGAACTCAGAGCCAGGAATAACCCCTGAGCATCACTGAGTGTGGCCCAAAACTAATTAAAAAAAAAAAAGCAGGGGCCATAGTACAGAGGTTGCATGCTTGCCTGGAAATGTGGCTGACCCAAGTTCGAATCCTGGAATCCCATATGGTTCCCCAAGCCCGTCCGGGAGAGATCCCTGAGCACAAAGCCAGGAGTGAGTCCTGAGTACTGCCAGGTATGGCCTGCCCAAAAGTAAATAAAACAAAGCTCCTTAAGCACCTTGGCCTGACAATATGATCAATTTTGCAAATCGGCCGGGTTCAGGAACCCGTTTGCTTCCTTCCTGAGATTGGGAGCCAGAGGCCGCTGGACCATAGAGGAGTGGAGCAGGACCAAGGCGGGGTGGCCTGTCGGAGTGGGGTGCAGCACCAGCTCTTAGTGGGCTGAGACCAGGTGGGCGGGCTGGCGTGGCTCCCAGGCTGTGGACCCTGTCTCCCCCACAGCGTGCTGTCTCTTTCTCAGGGAGAAGCTAGTGAAGACACTGGTGGAGCTACTGAGCAACCAGGTGGGGGAGAAGATGGTGGTGGTGCTGGCCCTGCGCCTCCTCTACCTGCTCATGACCAAGCACGAGTGGCGCCCACTCTTTGCCAGGGAGGGCGGCATCTACGCCGTGCTGCTGTGCATGCAGGAGTACAAGGCTTCCATCCTGGTGCAGCAGGCGGGGCTGGCGGTGAGTGCGCCCAGCCTGGTGGCAGGGCAGCGCGGGAATTGCTGGAAGGTACAGAGGGATTTAGGAGAGCCTGTGGAAGTGCCTAGGGGATGCAGTGCATGTTTGGAGGAGGAGGAGGAGAAGGTAGGGGCCAGAGAGAGAGTACAGTGGGTAAGGCACTTGGTTTGCATGTGGCTGACCCCGGCTTCATCTCTGGCAGCCTACAACGCGCCCCCAGCAGTGTCAGGAGGGACCCCTAGTCCAGAACCAGGAGTTATCCCTGACCACTGCTGAGTGTGGCCTCCAACACTGAAACAGAACAAAAAACTGTCTTCTTCATGATTTGATTTGAGTTTTTGTGTGTGCTGGGTGGATGGTTACTTTGGTCTCTGTGCTTGTGGGTTACTCCTGGCAGTGCTTGGGGAACTTTTCCATGCAGAAGTTGAACCTGGGCCTCCTTCATGCAGAGCATGTGCTCCGGTCCTTTGAAGGCTCTCGCGAGCCAAGAAGAGAGTGTTTATGAATGGCTCCTGCATCTGGACAGGGGCAGCAGGGCCAGAGAGATACAGGGATGAAGGTGCGTCGCTTCAGCACTGGCATCCCAGTTTGAAGCCTAGTACCACATACAGTCCCCTGCGCACCAACCAGGAGTGACCCCTGAGCACCGCCAGATGTGACCCCCAAGCCCCAGAATAACAAGAATGAACCAGGCTGCAGGCTGGGTGAGGCGGTGTTTACTAAGTGGGAGAATGTGGCGACATAAGAGGGCTGAGGGGGTCAAGAGTTGCACTCTCAGGTATGTTGGATTTCCCACGCGTGTTTTCACTGCTGGGTGTTACCTCTGATTCAGCAAGCTGACAAGCCGGCTAACAAAAAGACTCGTCTTTCTGCCTGCAGCCAAGTATTTTTCAGCCTTAGATTCTAAGGCTGAAACAAATTCTTACTGGATTTGTTACGACAAAGACAGCTGTGCCACTGCCTTGCCACTCTGAGCCCAGAGAATAAAAAGGGCTGCAGAGACCAGGGGAGCTTCCAGAAGTATCGGCTTCCTGGGGCCAGAGCACTAGTACAGCAGGTGGGGTGTTTGCCTTCCACGTGGCTGATCCAGGTTCAATCCCCGGAACCCCACATGGTCCCCTGAGCACCACCAGGAGTAAGTGCTGAGTGCAGAGCCAGGAGTAATCCCTGAATACCACTGGATGTGGCCCCAAAAAGTATTGGTTCTCTATTGCACACATGTATTCATGTGCGTGTGCACATGTGTGCATAAGCGTGTGTGTTTGGGGGTTGATGGGGAAGCTTGGTGCCATACCCGGCATGCTCGTTGCTCATGTGACCTTACGCTGTGCCGGAGATGGTGGGGTGCAAGGCCCCGTGCTTCATCTCTGGCCACCTTGCTCACTTTGACTCCCGAGAGGAGTGCCGGCTACGGGGAGGCCTGGGTTGCATGTGTTCCCCGTGGCCTGAGGGGGCCTCATCCCTCAGTGCGGTGCCTGTTGGGGATCCCCTCTCTCCCCCCAGCCGCAGGTAACACAATGCATGCACTCACGCCAGACTTCCCTTTAGGGCTCCTGCTGGTTGCAGCTCCCCCCAGAGCTGCCAGGCCATCTGAGTCTTGGCCCTGCCACTTGAAAGAGCTCCCAGCCCTTTCTGATGGCCTGACCAAAGCAGAGGCCCTGACCCTCAGTTCGGCCTCTTGCCCTGCAACAGACGGGCGGCATTGCAGTTAACAAGTTACAGTTATAAGAGACCGTCCGCAGAATTCATTTAGGGGCACTGAAGAGAGCGCGCCTCTTCGGCAGGACTCACCATACGGCTGGTTCTGGTCTCCTCCATCCCCACAGGCAGTTACGACCCCCGAGGGGTTGCGCCTTTGCCAAGAGAGGCAGTTTCCACCAGAATCACTCTAATGCCAGGATCTTCCTCTGGATGTCGTTTCTCTGTGGCCCCTACCAACAAGTTAACACATCACCAGATTTTTTTCCCCTCCAAATCTAAGGGACTCTGTCCATGAGACATTCACGGGTCTGGTCGAGGAGTCTGTGGAGGCTTTGGGGCAAGGGGAAGGGGGACTCCTGGAGAAAACAGAGTAGCCTGGAGGGGAGGTGCCGAGAGAGAATTGAAGGGGACAGGAAGCTTTCTTGTTTAATGATGGGGCAGAGGGAACCGTCAGGGAACAAGAAGTTTTGCAGAGGGGCGTAGGGTCAGGAGCAGAGACAAGAGAAACTTTTATCTTTGTTATTTTTTTAGAGGGGGGCGTACGTGGCATTGCTGGGCCTTACTCCTAGCTGTGTGCTGGGTGTGGTAAAAGGCCCCCACCTGAGGGGAAGTCCCAGGAACCCCTCTGCCCCTCCCCACATGGTATACTTGACCTGGGACCCTCAGATCGTGTTTGTTTGCTTTCTGTGTAAACTGAAGGGATGGACTCCTACATGGTGCCTCTAGGTCCCTTCATTACTAACTCTGCCACATGCCCCCGTCACAGGCACTGTTCTTTATTTGGGCTTCTGTTGTTGTTTGGTTTGGAGCTACACCTGGCGGTGCTCAGGGGTTACTCCTGGCTCTGCACTCAGGGACCATTCCTGGTGGGCTGGTGGAGCACCCTATGGGGTGCCAGGGATCGAACCCACATTGACTGTGTGCAAGACAAGAGCCCCGCTCATCGTGCTGTCTCTCCGGCCCACTCACAGGCGCTGAAGATGCTGGCCATTGCCAACTCCTCGGAGATGCCCACTTTCGTTCCTGGCCAAGAGTCTCTCCCCCCGTTGTTTGACGCCCAGATGACCAGAGAGATCTTTGCCAGCATTGACTCGGCCACCCTCCCGGGCACCGACAGTCTGCTCCTGACCATTCCCGCGGCTGTGATCCTCATGCTGAACACGGAGGGGTCAGGGCACCGCCCTCCCCGCCCCCAACTCCTGCTCAACCCTGGGTCCCGCAGAAATTCCCCTCACACTGCGGTCCCTGGATGAGCCGCGGGGGGCCTTCCCTCTGGTGGGCAGAGAGGCCACATTGTTGGGGGCAGGAGGTTTCCCAGAGGGTGCCCTGACCTCCCTCCCTGGGGTAGCCAGGGCCACGCCCCGTCGTCCTGGCTGCAGGAACGGGCTGGCACCTCCCCTCTGCACCTGCTTCCTGTCAGGGCGTTCACCCTCACCTTCTTCCTGGGCCATCTCCCTCCTCCCAGGTGCTCCTCCGCAGTGAGAAATGGCCTGCTTCTCCTCAACCTGCTTCTGTGCAACCATCATACACTGGGAGACCAGATTATCACCCAGGAGCTGAGGGACACCTTGTTCAGGCACTCGGGGGTTGCCCCGGGGACGGAGCCCATGCCCACCACCCGCACCATCCTGATGATGCTGCTCAGTCGCTACTCAGAGCCGCCAGCCAGTCCCCAGCGCACAGGTATCACTGGGAGGTAGGAGGGCACCAAGGTGACGCCACTCTGGTTGTCTTGTTTTTGTGTGTGTGTGTGGACCACACCTGGCGATGCTCTGGGATTACTCCTGACTCTGTGCTCAGGGTCACTCCTGGCAGTGCTTGGGGTACCATATGAGATGCCGGGGATTGAACCCAGGTTGGCCACGTGTAGGCACAAGTGCCCTATCCACTGTGCTATCTCTCTGGCCCCTGGTGAAGCCACTCTGAAAGGAAGCATCAGCACAAGAGGGTTTTGGTGTTCACGTTACACCTTAAGTTGAACTTGGCCACTTCTAAAGAGGGTGATTCCAGAGAAGCCCTGCAGTGTGCAGAGTGAGAGTACAGTGGGTCGGGCATGTTCCTTGCAGCGCATCCAGCCCTGGATTGATCTCGGGCATCCCATCTGGTTCCCCGAGCACCACCAAGAACGATCCCTGAGCGCAGGGCCAGGAGAAACCCCCGAGCACCACTGGGTAGCCTCCCCCCTCAAAGGCTGTCCACTTGCTGGACCACGGCCTCCCCCTTCTCCACACCCCAGCTGAGTCTCACCGGGCAGCCGAGCGTTGGTTGGGAAGCCTGCTTGGGAGCAGTCGTAACTCCTGGCACGCAGAGTTTGTGATGGTTGTGTAGTTGTCCTGCAGCGGGAGCCCTTTGCGGTCATCGCAGAAGCGCACACATCGCAGAGGGGTGTGGCGGGAGATTGGAAACGGCCATTCTCCGTCTTCCGGCCGGGCTGGAAGGCCGCAGACAGGGCGTTCGGCTAGTTGCTCTGGTAGCTGCCTTGTCAGCTTTGCGGAAGCCGCGGCCACAGACGTGGTTTCTTTCCTTCTCCCACGTGTTTGGCCGCAGTGCTGGAGACCCCCAAAGCCCAGGTCCAGGATGCGTCCCCAGAGCTGTTGATCCGCTCCCTGGTGGGGGGCCCGTCTGCCGAGCTCCTCCTGGACCTGGAGCGCGTGCTGTGCCACGAGGGCGGCCCGGCTGCCCCTGCCGCGGCCCTGGGGCCTCTCCTGCAGCGCCTCCAGCAGGACACCCAGCCCTTCCTCCTGTTGCTGAGGACCCTCGACGCCCCCGGACCCAACAAAGCCCTGCTGCTGAGGGCACTGAGGTGAGGTCCCATTGGGGCACCCGTGCAGCGGGCAGGAGCCGGCGGCGGCAGACCCTTCAGCCCTTCCCGGCCCTCCTCAGGATCCTGACACGGCTGCTGGATCACCCCGAGGCCATGGACCTCCCCTGGCATGAGGTCTTGGAGCCCTGCCTCAGATGCCTGAGCAACCCCAGCAGTGACTCTGAGGTACTGTCCTGGCGGCCCCGGGCAGCTCTGAAGGACACCTGACAGCCTCTCGGATGGGTTGGCACCCTGGGCGGGGCAGGGTGGAAGGAGAAGGCCAGTGTCCATATTCTTTGTTTTCTTTTTGGGTCACACCCGGCGATGTACAGGAGTTACTCCTGGTTCATGCACTCAGGAATTACTCCTGGCAGTGCTCGGGGGACCATATGGGACGCTGGGAATCGAACCCGGGTCGGCTGCGTGCAAGGCAAATGCCCTACCCGCTGTGCTATTGCTCCATCCCCTGGCCTCAGTGGGCTTTAGACGGTGGCTTTCCCAGACTTGTGCACACAATCCTTGCTGTCCCCTGTCGGGGGTGTGGCTCAGCCACCAGGCACGGCTCCTGAGAGAACCAGGGGATCAGTTAGAAGACTGTGTCCCTGAGCCCCGCTGGGCCCCCACATTTTGCTCTCCGCCTGCCAGCGGCGGGGGGGCCTTCCCGCTCTCCTTCCCTGGGGCTGCAAGTCCAGGTTCAGATCTCAGCCGCCCGCCGTGTCCCCGTTAGACAGCACGCTGCCCTTGCGTGGCCTGCCCTCAGTTTCCTGCGTGTGACCGTGTGCGGCCCCGGTGCAGATTGTGAAGGACCTGCTCGGCTTCCTGCACCGCCTGGCCTTCACACACAAGGACCACGCCGTGGTGCTCTGCTGCCTGGGCGCCGGCGACACCCTCGCCAAACTCGAGGGCAAACACTCGGCGCACGCGCTGCTGGCCTGTGAGCTGCGGGAGCTGCTGGCCACCTGTGAGAAGCACGCCCGGCTCTACAGCAACCTCACCTCCAGCATCCTGGCCGGCTGCATTCAGGTGAGGGGGGAGGGGAAGTGCTGGGCACCAGCGGCGACCAGTCTGGCCCCCTTGACCCCTTCAAAGGGCCACATGGGGCGGTGCTCAGGAGACTGCGAGGAGCCCGGGAGGAACCAGGGGCTCCTGCAGGCAAAGCCTGTGCCCCAGCCCTCTGAGCTGTCTCCTTAAACCTCCCCTGGCCATTAAAATTGTTCTGTTTCATTATAATTTTGCCCGGGGCCACACCCGGGGCAAAATGTTCGGGGCTTACTCCTGGCCTTGTGCTCAGGGATCACTCCTTGGCAGGGCTCAGGGGACCATATAGGGTGCCAGGGATCGAACCCGGGTTGGCTGCATGCAAGATAAGAGCCCTGCCACTGTGCTGCTGCTTCCATCCCTTCCCTGTTTTATTTTCTATTTCTTTCCCTTTTTTTAAATCGAGTAATTGATTTATAAAGTTATCAGTAGTTGCGTTTTGGGCAAATAGTATTTCAACAGCAGTCCCACCATCGGTATCAGCTTCCCCCCTTACCAGTGTTCCCAGATTCCCTCCCACGCCCACCCCCTCCCCACCTGCCACCTGGACAGGTGCGTTCCAAAGTTCCAGTGGTCGCAGCTTAGAGCTCCTGTTTTCCGTGTCGTTGAGTCTGTTTTGGATATCTGGCGCTAGCCCTCAGCCGTATCATCCCCTGGTCTTTTTCCGTGTTTCTCTTCCCTGCACCCCATCCTCCTCTCTCCCTTGGTGGCTACAGATGGTGCTGGGCCAGATCGAGGACCACAGGCGCACCCACCGACCCATCAACATCCCCTTCTTCGACGTCTTCCTCAGGCACCTCTGCCAGGGTGTGTGCACCCCCCTCCCCCCAGCGCCCACCCGGGTGCTGCTCCTCCCCTTCCTTTCTGCCCCCTTTCCTCTGCTTGCGGCCAGCCGTGACTGCCCGCTTGCCTGCCGCCCCAGGCTCCAGCGTGGAGGTGCGCGAGGACAAGTGCTGGGAGAAGGTGGAGGTGTCCTCCAACCCGCACCGGGCCAGCAAGCTGACCGACCGCAACCCCAAGACCTACTGGGAGTCCAACGGTAGCACCGGCTCCCACCACATCACGCTGCACATGCACCGGGGTGTCCTGATCAGGTGCGAACACGCGCGTGGCCATCCCGCCAGGCCCCAGCACACGGGCATCACCCCTCCGCAGCCCCGATGTCTGGGGGACACACTCGGCCTTGCTTGGTGCAGGAAATGAACGGGCCCTCTGCTCAGTCCCGACATCCTTTGTCAGGCGCCCCACACGGGTCCACCTGCTCAGCGTGGTGCCGAGGGAGATCCGCTGCTCGCTCCCCCGTTCCTCCCACTGCCGCTGGGTTCGTGGGTCTTCTTGCTAGGAGCAGACCTTGAGCTCAAGGACAGTAAGATGCAATCGCTCGTGTTCGGGAAACTCGGCACCTAGCAGGGTAGTCAGGAAGCATCATGCTTGGCTTGAGCACAGGAGCCTGGGCCGCTGGAGAAGGCGCCCAGAAGGAGGGGTTGTAGCATGGTATTTGGAAGGTGAGAGAGACTTGGGGGAGCAAGGGCAGTGGAGGCGCCAGGTAGGAAGGGTGGGTGCAGGTGGAAGCGAGTCAAGCAGAGAGAGGTTTGGAGGAATGAAGTCATCGGGTTTGACTAGACAAAGGGCGTGTGAAGTGGCAGGAGGTGGGGCTTAGCTGGTAGGCAGAGCTAGACATCCGAGGGGTTTTGTGAGCTAAGAAATTTGAATTTGGGGGACAGAGCGATAGGACAATGGTTAGGTACTTGCCTTGCATGCGTCCAACCCAGTTCTATCCCCAGCATCCCGCATGGTCCCCTGATCCCACCAGGAGTGATCCCTGAGTGCAGAGCCAGGAGTAAATCCTGAACACCACTGGATGTAGCCCAAAAACAAAAAAATTGAGTTGATTCTGCATCTTGAACTACTGAAGGATTTTTTTTTAAGGGAATAGTAGGCAAGAGGCAATTTTGGGGATGGGATGGGGGTGGGGTAGTTTGGGCCACGCTCAGTGATGCTCAGATGCTGTTTCTGGCTTTGCTAGGGCATCACTCCCTGCGGTCCTGGGAAATAATATGCAGTGCAGGGGGCTGAAGCAGGTACCAGGGGTTGTAAAGGCAAGTGCCTTACCTGCTGTACTAACTCTCTAGCTCAAGACGTAGTCTTTCAACTTAGAAAACGCACTCTGAGGAGCTGGAGAGGTAGTCAAGAGGGTAGGGCACTTGCCCCGCACTTGGCTAACCCGAATTCGAAGGCTGGCACCCCATATGGTCCACCGAGCCCCACCTAGGATTGAGCCTGAATTTAGAGGCAGGAGTAAGCTCTGAGCACAGCCAGACGTGAACTGAAACCAAAACCAAAAAGAAAATTCACCCTGGCAATCACAGGAAGATGGACTGGAGCAGGAGAGCCAGCAGAAGTTTCTGCAGTGTGTAGTTGGGAACGTCCTCTAAGAGGCTGGAGGAGTCAGGAGGCGAATGGAGTGGGAGCTCTGAGAAGTCGAGTCTGTGGGGCTTGGCGTTGCCAGGCTGGCAGAAGTCTGAGAGGGAGAACCGCAGTGGAGTTGGGCTTAAGCGCAGGGTCGATGGTGGTTTTCAGCCCCAGGAGAGGGAAACCAGAAGCAGGACAAGTTCTGTGGACAGATGAATATTCCTTTGGGCATGTTGACTTCAGTGTGCCCTCAGGCCAGTGGGCAGACAGCTTAGGAGGGTCTCTTGGCCATGTGGGTTGGAAGTCACTAGGGGTTTATTTCCAGAGCCAGAGTGATAGGACAGTGGGTAGGGCTCTTCCCTTGCAGGCAGCTGACCTGGGTTCAATCACCAGCATCCCACTTGGTACTCCCAAACACCTCTTGGTGTGATTCCTGTGCAGAGCCAGGAGTCAGCCTTGAGCATCACTGGGTGTGACCCAAAAACCAATAAGAAGGGGGCTCATTTTTAGTTGAAAGTGACAGTGAAAAATTTGGGGGAGACTGAGGTAGATAGCTCCGAGGGTTGGAGCACACGTCTGACAAGCAGGCAAAGGACCCAGCTTCAGCCCTCAGCCCCAAACAGCCCCCCCTCAGCCCCGGAACACCACCAGGTGTAGTCTACAGGGTCCCCAGCACGTCTGGGGAGGCCCACGAAATGAAAGAAAGTAATTAAAGCCACTTGGGGAAGGGAAAGGGAAGACAGAAGGTCCGGGGAGAATTATCTCTTTTAGCACCAACAAAGGGAGACAGTGAGGGAGTAGTGGGGGGTTGAAGTGGCTTTTCTTAGAGTGGTGCCAGGGTGGGATTCAGGACCTCACACAGGCCGGGCTGGCTTTAGCTGGGTGAAGTCGCCTTGAGCTGAGACCGGGGCCCCTGTTACCAGACTCCCTTTCTCCTCCCCCAGGCAGCTGACTCTGCTGGTGGCCAGCGAGGACTCAAGCTACATGCCAGCCAGGGTGGTGGTGTTTGGGGGTGACAACACGAGCTGCATCAACACGGAGCTGAAAACGGTGAGGAGCTAGAGGCTGGACGGCAGCTCTGGCGCTTGCCTGGCTTATGGCTGACCTGGGCTCCGTCCCCAGAACCCCAGACGGTCCCCTGATCACCGCCAGGAGTGGTCCCTGAGCGCAGAGCCAGGAGTCAGCCCTGAGCATCACCACTCGCGGCCCCCAAAACAAAACAGAAACAGGATCAAAACGGCAGAACGCCAGCCTGCCCTGTGCAGGGAGCAGATAGACACACTTGCTCTCTGCACACACATGCACTCTACTCTTCTGTTCCACACGTCATTCCTCACACACTTCCACATTCCTCTCTTGCATCCATCCACACCGCCCACACACGGGCCTCTCCATTCGCTCGCCCCTACCACATACAACCCCTGCTTGCTGCTTGGTTGCTCTGTCTCACACACTCCTGTTTCACTCCTCCACACACACTCCCCCCTACACACATACACTCATACACACACACTTCCCTTCCTCACATTCGCTACACACGCCCACTCCAGCAGGCCTTCTGGTGATACCTGGAGGTGACCGCTCTCTCCCGCCACTTCGCCCCTGCCCGCCAGGTGAACGTGCTGCCCTCGGCCAGCCGCGTGATCCTCCTGGAGAACCTGACCCGCTTCTGGCCCGTCATCCAGATCCGCATCAAACGCTGCCAGCAGGTAGGGGTCGGGGGTGCTGGGGAGCAGAACCTAGCTCAGGGGCCCAGTAATGGCTGTTCCCTGTCATACTTGGGGGCCTGCCTCTTGCCACATGTCTGCCTCATTGCTCGGGGAGGGGGACGCTGTTACCAGTTCCTGGGCTGATCCCGGGAATGTGGGCCTCCGGGCTGGGGCTGGGCTCGGTGGCCGGGTAGCTTAGTGACAGCCTCGTCTGTATTCCAGGGCGGCATCGACACCCGGGTTCGGGGTATCGAGGTCCTGGGCCCCAAGCCCACTTTCTGGCCGCTGTTCCGGGAGCAGCTGTGTCGCCGTACGTGTCTGTTCTACACCATCCAGGCTCAGGTTTGGAGCCAGGATATAGCCGAGGACCGCAGGGGCCTCCTGCAGCTGTGCCCCAGGTGGGTGGCAGAGGCGGCCGTGCTGGTGGGGAAGAGCTGGCCGCCATGGGCGGGCACTGCAGCTTGCGTGGACGTCTCGGTCCCCCTCCCCACCTCCTCTTTGTTCCCAGGCTGAACCGGGTTTTGCGCCACGAGCAGAGTTTTGCTGACCGCTTCCTCCCCGACGACGAGGCTGCCCAAGCCCTGGGCAGGACGTGCTGGGAGGCGCTTGTCAGCCCCCTAGTGCAAAACATCACTACCCCGGGTAGGCAGTGCTTGTCATTGTTCCATGAAGGGAGGGGCCCCCAGCTCCGGTACTCGTCCTCTTGGTCCTGCATCTCCCTGGAAGGCCTGTCTCCATGTTCCTCTCCGTCCTGTCCATGATGCTTGTCCTGGTCCCACGCTGTCCCTCCCCAAAGCAGGCCTCGGGGAAGGGCGGCCTTGGCCCTGCTGCCGTCTAGTGGCTGCTCAGGGTCAGGGCTGTCCATGCCCTCTGCCCCTTCCCTTCCCCATGAAGACCTGTGCGTCCCTTGTCTCTCAGATGCTGCCACCGGTGTCAGCTCGCTGGGGTGGCTGCTGGATCAGTACCTGGTGCAGCGGGAGAGCTCGCGGAATCCCCTTGGCCGAGCCGCCTCCTTCGCCTCGCGAGTGCGTGGCCTGTGCCACTTGCTGGTGCACGTGGAGCCTCCGCCAGGGCCATCTCCAGAGCCACCCACCCGGCCCTGTACGTCCCCTTCCACCAGTGGTGGCGCTCCGGACCCCGGTGCCAGAGACCCCCGGGCCTTCCTTGCTGCCTTGTAAAGGGGGGGGTCCATTCCCCAGACCACTGGGCTCAGGCCTCCCTTCCGTCTCCCCAGTCGGCAGGAACAATAAGGGGCGGGAGCGGAGTCCCGGACCGCCCCCAGCTCTTCCCAGCAGCAGCCTGAGGAACATCACCAAATGCTGGCAGAGTGTGGTGCAGGAGCAGGTGGGCAGCCTGGCGAGCCCTGCGGGGGTGGGCTGCAGTCAGGTGGCCGCGCATTCGCTTCTTCCTCTCCTTCCCAGGTCGGCCGCTTTCTGGCTGCAGCCTGGAGGGCCCCTGACTTTGTGCCTCGTTACTGTCAACTCTACGAGTGTCTGCAGACTGCGGGCTCCGAACTCTTCGGGCCGCGGGCAGCCTTCACCCTGGCTCTGCGCAGTGGCTTCTCAGGGGCCCTGCTGCAGCAGTCCTTCCTCACCGCGGCCCACGTGAGTGCCAGGCCTGCCCCCGCCCCGATCCCCCCGCCCCTACCCCACACCCCACGTCCCACTCGCCCGCCCTCTGCACCCTTGCTCACAGTCATGGCTTGCTCCGCCCCGTGTCCGCCCCAGATAAGCGAGCAGTTTGCCAGGCACATTGACCAGCAGATCCAGGGGGGCCTAGTTGGCGGAGTCCCTGGCGTCGAGATGCTCGGGCAGCTTCAGCGGCACCTGGAACCCATCATGGTCTTGTCTGGCCTGGAGCTGGCCACAACCTTCGAGCACTTCTATCAGTGAGTGCAGGTCTGGAGAGAGAGGGGCCTGGGAGGCCTCCAGTCTGCACAGGGACCCGAGCAGAGGCTTACAGGGAAGGAGGGAGGAGCCGAGGGGAGGGGCAAGGAAGATGCCGGGGAGTGGGGAGGAAGGAAGAGGAGCGGCTGGGCCTGGGACTTGGCAGACTGCAACGGAGGGGTGGGGGAAGCTGACCCCAGGCTGTGCCCAGGGTCCCCCTGAGGCGCCGCCCCTGGGCTGTGTGTGCTGCAGACACTACATGGCGGACCGTCTCCTGGGCATGGACTCGAACTGGCTGGAGGGGGCCGTGCTGGAGCAGATCGGCCTCTGCTTCCCCAACCGCCTCCCCCAGCAGATGCTGCGGAGTCTGGGCGCCTCCGAGGAGCTGCAGCGCCAGTTCCACGCCTACCAGCTCCAGCGGCTGGACAGGCTGCTTCTGGAGCAGGAGGATGAGGTGCAGGGCCTGGAAGAGGTAAGAGGCGGCGACGCGCGGGAGGGAAGAGGAGAGCACATCGAAGAGCCCCAGGGCCCTGGAATCCTCGTGTCTCGCAGGAGGAAGAGGAGAAAGAAGAGGCCAAGAAAGAACTGTTTCTCGATGATCCAAGTCCAACAGTGTCCATACTGGTCTTGTCCCCGCGCTGTTGGCCAGTCTCCCGTCTCTGCTACCTGTACCAGCCCCGAAAGTGCCTTCCCGCAGAATTCTGTGATGCCCTTGACCGCTTCTCCAGTTTCTACAGCCAGAGTGAGGCCACAGGGAGAGGAGATTGGAGATTGGGGGGAGGTTGGGGGAGGCAGTAAGGACTAAAGACAGGAATGTTGTCGAGTGGGGAAAAGGAATTTTGGGGAAACAGTCTTGGGAGGGGTAGGAAAGTGTGCCTTAGTTCCGGCACCTGTCTTTTCGTTCCCTTCACCTTGGTATGAATTTGTTCTGTTTCTTCTTCCAAATTCCCGTTTCATGCTTACTCTTTAGTCCTTTCAGACTTCTGTTCAGTTACAACTATTCAAGGATTCATTTCCCTCAGTATTGCTAGAGCTGCATTTTTACAAGGTTTTGGGTTTTGCTTAAGAACATTTTGTTGAGGTATGGTGAGTAATCCAAGAAAGTGTCCAAACTTTTGTTTTCATTTGAGTGGTGGGGGTCGGGAGGCCATACCAAGCGATGCTATTCCTGGCTCTCTGCTCAGGAGTGATCCCTGGCAATGCTTGGGGCTTCTTATGCTGTACCAGGCATTAACCATCTTTGGAAGCATTACAAGGCCAGCACCTCAACTTCTGAATTAGCTCTCCAGCCCCTCAGATGTACCGATCTTAATGTTCAGACTTAATGAATTCTATCCCTGTGCATCCACTCATCCCCGGATTAAGATGTCAACTGACCCAGAACCTCTTTTGTATCCATTCTAGTCCACCTTCTCTTGCAAGGGAAACCTTTGTTCTCCCTTTATCACCATAGAGTGAGACGTAGTTTGACCAGAGGAGCATGTGTGCTCTGCTGTCCGCGCTCTTTCACTCCCTCGGGACGCCTGTGGAAGTGCGCCCCCTTCCTCTTGGGGTGGTCGTAGGTGTCATGATTGTCCTTTTGCTTTGCCAAACACGATTCCATTGTATGAACATTATTTCCGTTTTCTTCTGTGGATGGATATGAGAATATTGCAAACATGTTTTATTGCATAGTACCTTCATTATTTTTTTGAGTTTCCTAAGCATGTCATCTTTTTTGTTTGTTTTTCTTGAAAAATTTTCAAACAAAATTCTGTCTTGTCGTCTCTTTTGTTGTCACTTGCAGCCTCATTCCATGGTGGCCAGAGAAATGGTTTCTCTGCCATTTATTGCGCCTGTCTTCGTGACCTGGTAGATGATCAAGTTTTAGGATCTCTGTGTGAATCCGAAAAATGTGTGTTTACTTTACTGGCAGTCTACAGAAGTCCACCTCGTCCACTAAATCAGCTTTGTCCTTTACATTACTCAAATCTTCTGTTATTTACTCATTTTCATCCAGTCTAAGATGCAGAAATCTGTGAGGGCAGTGAATTTTAAAACTTACTGCTAATTTTGCTTTATATACTTTCAACTGATAGTAGACACAAGACTACATTTTTTTCCCCACAGGGCTGTCCAGTAGACTTTCTGCAATGATAGGAAGGTCCTTTCCTGCACAGTCCCTCATGCTGGCCATTCATGCCTCTTGAACACTTGAAATGTGGCCCGTGTGACTGAGAAACTCAGGATTCCTTTTTATTTTACTTTAAGCAATTTAGAGCCAGCAACAAGTGGCGATTGGCTGCCATGATGGCCTGTGCTTGTTTAGAGTCTTCTAAACACAATAATTAAACGTTATTGTAAATAATAACAGTGTTTATAATAATGTTGTTATAAACAATTTTTATAAGAATGTTATTGTAATTATTATTTCTAAATAATTATAAATATCACTCTGGAACGATAGCGATAGCACAGCGGGTAGGGTGTTTGCCTTGCACGTGGCCGACCCGGGTTCGATTCCTCCGTCCCTCTCGGAGAGCCCAGCAAGCTACCGAGAGTATCCCACCCGCATGGCAGAGCCTGGTAAGCTCCCCGTGGCGTATTTGATATGTCAAACACAACAAACACAGTCACAACAAGTCTCACAATGGAGACGTTAATGGTGCCCACTCGAGCAAATCGATGAACGACGGGAGGACAGTGCTAGAAAGTGACTTTTCTAGCAAAGCTTCTCTCAGAATGTTCTTGGTGGGGTGGGTACTCCTGGCGCAGCTTGGGGTGGGGTGGGGGTTGACCCTCATGCTCCTGATGAGGTGCCAGGGCTTGATCCCAGCGCACCGTGTGTGCATTAACCCTTTGAGCATCTCCCCAGCCCTGAGAGGCTAATTTGTTTCCAGCACGAGTGATGTGCCAACTTTTTTGGTTAGTGTCTTCCTAGCCTCACTGTTTGGGGGTTGATAGTTTCTCCGGTTCTCTAGTTATAGTAAGTATGACTAGCAGACTTTCCCATTTTACTCATTTGAATGTATAGATCGGTTATCCTTTTATTGAAACATTTCTGTGGGAAACTGGAGTGTTCATGGAGCAGTGCTGTGGTGGGGATCCCTGGCACTGCGTGGACCCTCCTCCTGCTCTGCCGGCATTTTGTGGGTCCCCGACCAACACTGTGTTGGCAGTATTGCCCCCTCCTTAACGCCACTGGGTGTGGCCCAAAAGCATTAAAATGTCTTACTTGGGAGTTGAGAAGCTGAGGAGTTGAGGCCTAACACCAGGCCCTAGATTTAATCCCTACACAGACGTTTGAAATCATTTCAAATATACAGAAAAATGGTAAGAACCCGTATACCTTTTACCCAAGTTTCCCTTTTCCTTTTGATTTTGTTTGGGGGCCAATACGCCCAGGGGCACCTCGCATGGGGGGTCTCAGTGGTACTTGGGGAACTACAGGAACCAGGCCGTATCAGAAATGAAACCTGGACTTCCTTTGTGCAAGACTTGGACCTTTTACTATTTTACTGTTTGCTCCTTTTGGATGTGTAGATTTACATGCTTATACATATGTAGTTAGCATATGCCTCTTTTTTTCCTGAACCATTGCGAATAAAAGAATAAATTGCATAGCTGGTCCTTCACCGCTAAATTCTTCTTTTTTTTTTCTTTTTGGGTCACACCCGGCGATGCACAGGGGTTCCTCCTGGCTCTGCACTCAGGAGTTACTCCTGGCGGTGCTCAGGGGACCATATGGGATGCTGGGAATTGCACTTGGGTCCGCCGCGTGCAAGGCAAATGCCCTACCCGCTGTGCTGTTGCTCCAGCCCCTCCGCTAAATTCTTAATGCGCATTTCCTAGGAATGAAGTACTGCTCATCTCAGTGTTTACAACATAACTAATTCATATAATACGAGTCTCCTTTTTCAGATTTCAGTTTTGTCAGTTGACCCCCGTGCTGTCTTTAATTTCCTTTTTGGCCGTGCCCGGGATCAGAACCCGGTTCCCACGTCGGCTTGTGTCGAGCCATGCCTCCGCCCCGTCTGCTGTGTGCTTGGCTTTCCCCCAGTCCCTCCCTGTTGCTGTTGTTGAGATAGACTCCAGGAGTTACATGCCTGGGTTGTGGTACTGGGGATCTCTCCTAGTTGCCTCACCCCTGCAAAGTCAGGCCACGGTCATTGAGCCACATCGCCAGTGCCCTGGCTTTGGTTCCTTGGGGCGGGCCGACTCCTGGCTCTGTGTTTGGGAATCACTCCCGGCACTGCTTGGGGACAGTATGCTGTGCTGCGAGGCAAACTGGGGCCAGCTGTGTGCAAGGCAAGTGCCTCGTCTGCTGTATGATCTCTTTTTGACTTTTTATTTTCTTCACGCTCGGGCCAGGCCACAGGCTAGGATTTGCAGTTAACGTTTAGGGGTCATGTCTCCTGTCTCCTTTATTCTGGAATAATTCCTCACCTTTTCCTTCCATAAGTTGACTTTTGCTTTGTTTTTTGGACCTCACCCAGCAGTGCTCAGGGGTCACCCCTGGCTTTGCACTCAGGAATCACTCCTGGACCTTACGTGGTGCCGGGGATCAAACCTAGGTCAGCCACATGCTAGACAAACGCCCTACCCACTGTGCTTTCTCTCCGGCTCCCGAAAATGAATGAATTGACATTTTGTGAAGTGTATATATACGTCGTTCCCAATTTTCTGAATGGTTCCTGATTTTCATTTTCTGTATTTTCTTTTGGCTAGATTCCGGTTAGACTGAATAAGTAATTGTATAAGCTGCTCAGGATATGCTACCTGGAAGTACCCAGTTTTCATCAGTCCTTCATTCATGGTGTTAATTTTGACAGCTGGGTCTGTAAATGGGTTGCTTTCTCCTCTGTAATTCTTGTTCTCCCTGAACACCACATCAGTATTCTGCTCTCCTCAGAATTTCCCTACTATTTTACTTTTTTTTTTTTTTTATTAATCTGATTTCTGTCTCTGTAGTGGGGTTGGGGGGACATGGTGGTATTGTGGGCTGAACTTGGGACTGTGTGCTTGCCAGGCATGTACCCAACCACTGAGTCATCTTTCCCGACTCATTTTCCTTGTAACTTTGCCATAGAGCTATAATCGGGTTATGTGCCTTGTAAATTCCTAGAATATGTGTGTATGTGTTTAAAATTAATTTTTTAACTTAAAAAAAACTGAGGTACTGTGATTTAAAATACTTGTTTTTGTTCCACATGCTGTGATGCTCGGGACTTATCCTGGCTCTGAGCTCAGGGATCACTCCTGGTAGGCTTGGGAGGCCTTACGAGGGCCAGGGATCAAACCTAGGTCAGCTGCATACAAGGCACACTGCCTGCCTTCGATACACTCACTTTGGCCTCTTAAAGAAATCATCCCCATCCTACTGTTTTTGGGGTGGCAGGGCCCATCCTTTGTTGCTCAGGGCTTGCTCCTGACCCTGAGCTCAGGGATCATTCCTGGTGGCTTGGGACCATATGGGATGCCGGGATATAACCTGGATGGGCCTCATGCAAGGCGAGTGCTCCACCTGCTGTACTATCACTCAGCCTAAAGATTTACAGTATTTTTGTTGTTGTTTGCTTGCTTGGTTGGTTCTGGGGCCACTCCCAGCGGGTGCCCAGGGGTAACTTTGGGCTCTGTGGTCAGGAATCACTCCTGGCAGTGCTCTAAGGAACCATATGGGATGCCAGGGATCACACCCAGGTTGGCTGCATGCAAGGCAAGCACCCTACCCACTGTATTATCACCCCAGCCCCTACAGTATTCTTATTTTTTTTGCTTTTTGAGTCACACCTGGCGATGCTCAGGGGTTACTCCTGGCTTTGACTCAGGAATCACTCCTGGCAGTGCTCAGGGGACCATAAGGGTTGCTGGGAATCGAACCCGGGTTGGCTGCGTGCAAGGCAAACGCCCTACCCGCTGTGCTATCTCGCCAGCGCCGCCCCAGTATTCTTAATGGTGGTTTCCCCTGTACATCATTCCAGCACATACCCCTTGCCTTGCACCCACCTCCCTCCCCAAGGTTTTCAGTTTCCCTACCTTCCAGCACCCCACTAAGCTCAGTATTTTTTTTTTTTTTGGTTTTTGGGTTTTTTTTTTTCTTTTTGGATCATACCCAGCAATGCACAGGGGTAAGTTACTCCGGGCTCATGCACTCAGGAAGTACTACTGGTGGTGCTCGGAGGACCGTATGGGATGCCTGGGAATCGAACCTGGGTTGGCTGCGTGCAAGGCAAACACCCTACCTGCTGTGCTACTGCGCCAGCCCCCAATCTCAGTTTTGTAGATCAGTTCTGTTGTGCTTCCTTTGTACCTTTGTTGCTGCCTTGCAGTGATTTTTTTTTCCTTTCTGGGTCACACACTTTGGGGTTATTCCTGGCTCTGCAGTCAGTAATTTCTCCTGGTGGTGCTCGGGGTACCATATGGGATGCTAGGGATCAAACCTGGGCCGTGTGCAAGGCAAACGCCCTCCCCGCTGTACTGTCACTTCCGCCCTAGCCTTTTGCGGTTTTTTTATCTGCCCTCTTACTAAGTTTCTTTAGTTACTTTGTTCTCTCTTTTTTTTTAATTGAGGTACTGTGACCTGGAATACTGTTAACAGTAGTGTTTCAGACATGCAGTGTTCCCAGCACCACAGCCACCACCAGGGCACCAGTGCCCCCAGATCCTCTCATTCCTACCACTTCATCACCAGGCCCTTGACAAACTCAGTCCTTCTGGCCTGCTGTTCATGGGCGGTTTTCATTCCTTTCTTCATGATGCCTCTTTGTATTCCACATATGAGACCATTCTCTCTTTGTCCCTCTCGTTCTGACTGCACAAAACATGATCTCCTCTTATTCCAACCACATGGCAGAGAATGCCAAAGCTCAGTCGCTCAGGATTCCGTTGTGGATACCAGTCACAATTCTTTGTGGGTTTTTTTTTAAGTTTTAGGGTCACACCTAGGCTTGCTCCTGGCTATGCACTCAGAAGTTACTCCTGGTGGTACTTGGGGAACCACATGGGAGGTCAGGGATTGAACCCAGCTTAGGTGCAAGCAAGCGTCCTGTGCTCTGTACCGTCTCTCCTGCCCTCCGCTCCCAGTTTCTTTTATCTCCTCATCTGCTCTTGGGCACTTGGGTGATTTCCAGGTCTTGGCTATTCTGAACAGCACCACAGTGCACATAGGCGCGCAGATATCTTCTCTGAAGTATTGGGTAGGTGCCAAGAAGTGAGATTGCTGAATCATATGGAAGCTCACTCCATAGTTTTTTGAGAAGCGTCCAGTCCCCAGCCACAGCGGATGGCGGCTCCTTTCCCGCCACATACCCACCAGCACTGGCTGTTCATGTTTCCCTGATGGTATTGAGGGTTTGCTTTTTTGAATTCGTTACTTTATTGAGGATTCAAACAGAGCCCACACAACGCATTTGGTTAAGTTCTATCCGTCATCTCCTTTCATCTCTTTGTTCTCGTCTTCGCCTTCTCCTTCCCCTTCCCCACTCGCAGCCATTTGTGGGAGACCGGGCTGGTTTGCTAACTAGAGGCACAGACAGGGCAGATTTGCTGAGTGTTTGTATCCGTGTGGTGTCCCCCCGAGTCCTGTTTCTTCCGAAGTAGTTACTCGTACAACCACCAGGCGGCGGCGTGTTGTCTGGCTGTGATTTGAGTTGGATTAGAGACTTGTTAGACCCATCAGCCTGATATCTGACCCAGATTCCGTTCTCTGCTTCAGTCTGTCATTTCAGGAGCGGCTCCTAACAGGGCCTTTTCCCTGCCCCCTTTTTTTTTTCACTGATACACTGGAATTCTTTCTCGACCAAGAGAAGCTTTTGCATCTACTTTCACTGACCCAACTTATGTTTATCCTGAAGTAAGGCACAGGAAAAACAGGAACCATTCACCCTAGCCTTTATTTTGATGCAGTTTTCAAAATAACGTGTTGGTTCTTCATCCTCCAGAATGTCAGTGATATTTTGTTTGTTTTGGCCACATCTGGTAATGCTCAGGGGGTTACTCCTGTCTTTGCACTCAGGAATTATTCCCGGTAGTGCTCAGGGGACCATGTGGGATGGCGGGGATCGAACTGGGTTGGCTAATTGCAAGACAGACACTCCTCACTGTATTATGGCTCCAACCCTGAGATTTTTCTGTTTTAATGAATTGGTGGGTTCTAAATATTTCATGGTTGAATCCGTTCATCGTAGCTGTCATTTTATTGATGTTCAGATGGTCCCCTCTTTAACCAGTATACCTCTGTGTATGAGTCTGTGTGTATATATCTTTGTGTGTATTCACATGTCTGTGTGTATATCTTTGTGCATACATGTGTATGTTTGTGGGTCTCTGTGTTTATGTGTAATGTCTTTCTGTGCATGTGTGTGTGCGCACGTGCGCGTCCCTGACCGGCTCTTGGACACTTTCCCTTTGATGGCACCCTCACATTCTAACAAGAGTGAACAACAAAAAAAAAAAGAGTGAACAGCCAGGCCGACCTGTGCACAGAGGAACAGTGGGTCTAGGAAGCAGGCAGTGCCTTGTATGCACCCCCAGACAGACCTCACATCTGGGGGCTTTCTTGAAGCCTGCCTGCACAGGGCCAGGCTGGGGGTGGGAGCCGTGGGGCTAGTCAGGGAGGTGGACAGAGAGGGCGAGCTCACACGGGAAGGCAGCCCAGGCACTGGTGTGTCTGCTGACGTGGGGGCCCTTCTCCCCCGAGAAATGAGCGTGCGCCCTCAGCTCATCCGCTAACCTCCTTGTCTCCTCCACTCCTGTCCCCGCCTGTGTCCCAAACACTTTCCCAGGCCAGAACCATCCGGCCCTGGATGTGGGGCCCCATCGGAGGCTGCAGTGGACGTGGCTGGGCCGGGCAGAGCTGCAGTTCGGGGACCAGACCCTGCACGTGTCCACGGTGCAGATGTGGCTGCTGCTGCACTTCAATGGGAGAGAGGTACCCGGGTCCTTCACCCCCGCCCCCTTTCCCCACTCTTTTGCCTTTCTCTCTCGGGACTGCCTGCCCGACGCCCTCCCTCCCCCACCCCCCATCAGCGGTCTCTCCTTGCCAGGAGATGTCGGTGGAAAGTTTGCTGGAGAATTCTGACCTCACGCCCGAGCTGCTGCTTCAGGCCCTGACACCCCTCACCTCCCATAACGGCCCTTTGACCCTGATGGAGGGCCCGGACCTGCCCGCCGGGGGTAGGTTCCCCCCACAGCTCTCAGCCTCCGTTCCTGGGGTGAGGGCATGCAGGATGGGGGGACCGTGTGATGGGGGCACGCACGTGGGGGCCTCCTGACCCCACTCGTCTGCCTCTTCCCTTCCCGGAGCACTAACTGGGTTGGTTTGCAGGGGTGTTGCGGCCCCGGGAGCCCGGGCCTCAGCTGGACAGGGACACGCTGTGGCTGCTGCCGCCTCAGAAATACCTGAACGTAGAGGAGGACGAGGGCCGAACCCTGGAGCAGAAGCGGAACCTCTTAAGCTGTCTTCTGGTCCATATTCTCAAAGCCCACGGACAGACGGGCCTCCACATCGACCAGCTGGTTTGTCTGGTAGGCTTGGAGGGCCCAGGCATGAGTGGGGGGGGGGAGGGGCGCCCGCAAGAACACACACTGCACGAAGCAGCGGGGCGACAGTCTCAGCTTTCTTCTTGGTTTTGGAGCCACTCTCCACTGTGCTTAGGGCTCACTCCTGACTCTGTGCTAAGGGATCACTCCTGGCGAGCTCAGGGGACTCTATGGGGTGCTGGGGATTAAACCAGGGTCAGCTGCATGCCAGGTCAGCGTCCGTCCTCCCTGCCATACTGCGGCTCTGGCCCAAGTGCGTTTTCTATTCCTGTCTGGTTGGTTAGAGACAAGCCAGGCCATGAACCAAGCCCTTCCCGGAACATCAGCATGGTTGAGGCACGTCATCTGAGCAGTGTGTGATGTAAAGAAGGGCTGCTGTCACTATCGTCATGCTCGTTGTACAGTAGGACTGTGAGGCCGAGGGCTGCGGAGGTAGCTGCAGGGGCCACGCTGTACACAGGCTTTGCGTGCAAGAGGCCTGATTCAACCCCTCCACCTTGTGGTTCCCTGAGCACTGCTAGGAGTGACCTCCAAGCACAGAGCTGGAGTAGCTCCTGAACACCGTCAGGTGTGGCTGAAGCCCAAACAGGAAAGGCAAAAAAGAAAAGAAGAGAGCGAGGCCAACCCGCCCACCCACTGTTGCGAGTGCAGGGCCAGGCGCTGAGCGCAGTGGGCGGCATCGACAGGGGGCCCCGCTGATCTGCCTGCCCTCTCTTCCCCTCCAGGTGCTGGAGGCTTGGCAGAAAGGCCCAAACCCGCCCGGCAGCCTGGGGCGCTCGGTGGCTGGGGGTGTGGCGTGCAGCAGCGCCGATGTCCTGTCCTGCACCCTGCAGCTGCTGGGCCAGGGCTATGTGAAGCGGCGAGATGACCGGCCCCAGATCCTCCTACTTGCCTCCCCAGAGCCCACGGGACCCTGCCAGGGCCAAGCAGACATCCCCTTCGGTAGCGACCAGAACCCCAAGACCTCCAAGCCGAGGTGACCGTCCCCACTACCTCCTTTGATTTCCAGTCAAGAGCCCTCCTCCCCCTGATCTTCTGACGACCAGCTCTATGCAGAACACATGTTCCTTTCTAGACGCTTTCCATACTCCGTATGTCAAATAACGATTCCTGTATGGGTTGAGTATTACTGGCCATTCTGCTCAGTGAAGTATCCAAACTCTGGTGATTGTTATCTATTTATTTATTTTTTTTGAGGTGGGGTAGACATATCCAGCATTGCTCAGGGCTTATTCCTGGCTCTCTGCTCAAGGATCATTCCCAGTGGGGCTTGGGACCGTACTAGGTACCAGGGATTAAACCCAGGTTGGCCGCATGCAAGGCAAGCACTCTAGCTACTGTACTATCTCTCCAACCCCCAAACTCTGGTTTTCAGGATGCCGGTTCTCAATCAAGTAATCTGTTTGTTTTAAGGTGTCCCTAGTTTGTGCCTGAGAGCTTTTTGTTATTTTTCTGGGTTTTTGTTTTGTTTTGGGACCACGCTCAGTGACGCTTAGGGTTTACTCCTGACTCTGTACTCAGGGATCACTCCTGGTGGGCTCAGAGGACCAGATGGGGTGCTAGGTATCGAACTCGGGTTGGCCGCATGCAAGGCAAGCGCCATCTGTGCCGTTCTATGGCTCTGGCCATCAGAAACTTTTTACAACCAATCCACTTCACAGAAGTTGTTTGGGCACTACTTACTTTTGGTGAGGGAGTGGTTGTGCCACTCCTGGCAGGGTTGCGGAACCCAAGAGCCATTCCTGGTGGTGCTTGAGGGTCCCATGGGCGCCAGTAAACAAGCCTGCTGTGGGAGGCTCACTTTGCCGCTGGGCTCCAGCGCCAGCCCCTTGCCACAGCCCTTCTCACCTTCCATGCGCGTGAGCAGTTTTTCTCGCGCCAGTGTGCCCCACAGCCTGCGGTGCCTGTTTGCTCACAGGGCGCCCCCCACACCCTGAATCCAGGCTGCTGACCCTGGGCCCCCTGGCATCGTGCTCAGAGTTTGGGGTGGGACCTCGAGGGCCTGAACACTGCATCTCTGCGATGCCCCTAGCAGCCACCGCCCTTCCGCTCCCCCGCGAGTGCTAGGTGTGTGTCGGGGGCTCCGCGTGGCCGGGACTTGAGGTGGCTGGAGCCCTCACGCTTAGGGAGCTGGGGCCCGGGGGAGACACGAGGGCGACTGACCACTGGCCCTTCTCTCCTGCCAGCCCAGAAGCTGTGGCTGCCCTGGCGTGTCTGCAGCTGCCTGCGGGCCGCACCATGAGCCCCCAGGAGGTGGAGGGCTTGATGGAGCAGACGGTGCGCCGGGTGCAGGAGACGCTCAGCCTGGAGCCCGACGTGGCCCAGCATCTCCTGGCTCATTCCCACTGGGGGGCTGAGCAGCTGCTGCAGAGCTACAGTGACGATCCCGAGCCCCTGCTGCTGGCCGCCGGGCTGCGTGTCCCCCAGGCCTCCCCTGCCCGCCCTGACCACTGCCCCGTCTGCGTCAGCCCCCTGGAGACTGGCGATGACTTACCCGCTCTCTGCTGCTCACATTTCTGCTGCAAGGTGAGACCCTGCACTCCTCCCCTCCCTCTCCCCACCCCTCTCCCTGTGCTCCCCATGCTCGTCCCTCCCTCCTCTCCTTCCTCCCCTTTCTCCTCCCTGTACTTCTCCCACCCTCCTCCCCACATTTCTCCATTTCTCCCTGTGCCCCCCGTACCCTAACCCTCTCTACTCTTACTCCTCCCCTTGCTCCTCTCCGCAGGCCTCGACCCACCCACTCCCACCCCCCTTCCAGCATACTCAGCCTCTGGACCCCCCTCACCCGATCTGTCTCCATCCCTCTCACACCACCTTGGGCTTTGGCATCTGTATAGTGGCCCCTGTCTGGGCACTTTCAGGGGTCTCACTAGGTCCAGATAGAGCAGTGGTTCTCAAACTTTGCATGTTCCTGTTTCTTCTCCAAAATGCAAACATTGTGCATTTCATCTCCCATTCATCTCTGCTCACGTGACCATAAAAAGGGTCTTGTTGTGGTCTGTTTGGTACTTTTCCTTTGAATAAAAGTAGTCCAATGAAGGGCCTCCTGCTAATCTTGGAGCTTTGACACCAGGGGTACCGTTCACCCTTGGGCACTAATTTTGGGAAGCCAGGCAAACGTGGTGTGGGGGAGAGGGGCAACAGTGGAGGACTTTAGGAGACTGCAGCCACACAGAGCAAGCCAGATGGGTAATGGCCTGGCCCAGGTCAGCGCCTCTCGGCTGGGCAGATGCCGGTGACTGGGGTGCATGGACACCGATCAGGATCTGAGGGATACAGCAGGCAAGTGTGTTCTGGGGGAAGGAGTCTGGGGAGGCATCAGGCCAGGCCCCAGTGGATGCTGGGCCACCATGCTCTGGGTCGGCGTGACCCCTTCCCCACCCCCAGCCCAAACCTGGCTGCATCTTATTACAACATGACCCTCCCCCTGTTTGTGATTCTCCTTAGCCATCCCATCTCCATCCTTCCCAGCTGGAGCTGCGGAGGCCCCCACAGTAGGAACCTCCCTCACTTGGCAGCTGAGGCCAGGGGGGCTCAGCTAGTGCCCAGGAGGCTGTGGTGCCTGAGAAGCAAGTCTCCTCCCCACCCCGCCTCTGCCATCCCTCTAGTCTTTGTTTTGTTTTGGGGACACCTGGTGATGCTCAGGTGTTACTCCTGGCTCTGCACTCAGGAAATACTCCTGGCAGTGCTCAGAGGGGCCAGTCAGGGTGCAGGGTATCACACTTGGGTCAGCTGCATGTGAGTCAAGCGCCTTCTCCGCTGTACTACTGCTCTGGCCCCCACCATCCCTCCAGTCTTGCTGGAACGAGTACCTGACCACTCGCATCGAGCAGAACCTCGTGCTGCACTGCACCTGCCCCATCGCCGACTGCCCCGCCCAGCCCACCGGGGCCTTCATTCGGGCCATCGTCTCCTCGCCAGAGGTCATCTCCAAGGTATCCCCTCCTCAGAGAGGCTCCAGCACATCACTGTGTGTGTGTGTGTGTGTGTTGGGGGGGGTCTGGTGTTCGGGCCAAGCCTCACCTTGTGGTCCCTCCATCCCTGCAGTACGAGAAGGCCCTCCTGCGGGGCTACGTGGAGAGCTGCTCCAACCTGACCTGGTGCACCAACCCCCAGGGCTGCGACCGCATCCTGTGTCGCCAGGGCCTGGGCTGTGGGACCACATGCTCCAAGTGTGGCTGGGCCTCCTGCTTCAACTGCAGCTTCCCTGAGGTGGGTGGTGCCCACCAGTCCCGAAAGCACACAGCCCGGAACACACCTGCATGCACGCAAACACACAGCATCAAGCCTACATGCACATGCAAACCCAGCTCTGAATGCACGCGCGCACACACACACCGTGAATACACATGCACCTGCATACAGCCCTAAACACACATGCAAACACAGCCCTGAATGAACATGCACACAGAGTCCTAAATACATGTGCTAATACACAACCCTGAACACATACACACAAGCACGCACACATTCACATGGTCCTAAGCATGCATGCACACACATAGCCCTGAGCATGCAAGCACATTCATGCACTTGCACGCATATGGCATGCACAGTTATGCACGGGGGCCCAAATACAGGCACACAGCTCTGACTGCACAGGTGGCTCTGAGCATGCACATACACCTGTGCACACACAAGCACACATCCCTGAGCACACACATCCCTGAGCACTTATGTCCATATATGCACACACATGTACACATAGCTTTGAGCATGCACAACCACATATGCACACACAGCCCCAGCATGCACACACATGTGCACTCCACCTCCTCTTATTTTCTACCTCCCCCCTGAGCTCTGGGTTGCTCCCCGGAACCTTCTATGAGCAGCATCCGTGTGTTGCCTGAGAAGGGCCGGACTGTGCCCTCACTGCCCCCCCACCCCCCCAGGCTCACTACCCTGCCAGCTGTGGGCACATGTCTCAGTGGGTGGATGACGGCGGCTACTACGACGGCATGAGTGTGGAGGCCCAGAGCAAACACTTGGCCAAGCTCATCTCCAAGCGCTGTCCCAGCTGCCAGGCGCCCATCGAGAAGAACGAGGGGTGTCTGCAGTAAGAAAGCGGGGGAGATGCGGGCCGAGGGAGGGAGGGCCTGCTTCCTCGCCCACACCGGGAACCCGGGCTCTCGCTGTCCCAGCCCTCCTCCTAGGGGTCACCCCATGGGGGCGGGATGCAGAAGGATTGGGGAGAGGAGGCTCTAGGGGCCGAAGGCGGGGCTTCTCTATAGTAGCTGCAGGCCCCTGGACTATCTGCTGTGGCCTGGCCAGGGCAAGGCCCCGTGACCAGCTGGCTTCCTCCCTAGCATGACATGTGCCAAATGCAAGCATGGATTCTGCTGGCGCTGCCTCAAGTCCTGGAAGCCGAACCATAAAGACTATTACAACTGCTCTGCCATGGTAAGAGGGCTGGGGGGGGTGGCTGGGTAGCCAGGATGGTATGCTGCCATCGAGCCTGGACAGTGGGCAGAAGCCTGGGAGTTCTGTCCTGGGAAGGCAGTGCAGTGCCTGTGGCCCAAGCCCTGGGAAGGCCCGCCAGCACCACAGCAAGCCTGCTTGGAAGTCAGCCTGGTGAATGTGCTGCCATCACCCACTTCTGAGGGTCTGTCTGACAGGAACCCCCCGCCCCAGCCCAGAATCCCTCATCGTGCCCTCCCCAGGTCAGTAAAGCTGCCCGCCAGGAGAAGTGCTTCCAGGACTATAACGAGAGGTGCACCTTCCACCACCAGGCTCGGGTGAGCAAGGGGCTGCCAGGTGGGGGCAGACTCACAGTGTTGCCTAGGATGGCTGCTGTGGTGGGTAGGGGCTGGGGGCAGGCTGCGCTGAGCCGCTGCTCCCACCCAGGACTTCGCTGTGAACTTGCGGAACCGTATCACCGCCATCCACGAGGAGCCCCCACCCAGATCCTTCACCTTCGTCCACGATGCCTGCCGGGGATTGGAGCAGGCCCGGAAGGTTGGGGCGGTGGGGAGAGGGGTGCAGGTGGGAGGCCTGGCTGGCCAGAGGGGCGCCGGCTGACGGGGGCTCCCCCAGGTGCTGGCCTATGCCTGCGTGTACAGCTTCTACAACCAGGACACGGAGCATATGGACGTGGTGGAGCAGCAGACGGAGAGCCTGGAGCTGCACACCAACGCCCTGCAGATCCTCCTGGGTGGGCCGCACCCCTGCTCCCCAGGGTCCCCCTGCACTCAGCCTGGGCATGTCCTTCCCTGCCTGCTCACCGCTGGCCATGACGAACTGGGGGAGGGGGCAGCGGGCAGATAAGTTGTGGCGGGAGGCACCCACAGGTGCAGCTCTCTGGCTGGCCTTCCCGCGTGGGCGTGGGCGTGGCCCTGGGCTGTGCAGAGGCGCAGAGGGGAGCCGTGCACTGTGCCCACAGAGGAGGCTCTGCTGCGCTGCCGAGACCTGGCCACGTCCCTGCGCCTGCTGCACGCCGACAGCCTCAACACAGGCCTGGAACTGCTGCGGCGCATCCAGGAACGGCTGCTGGCCATCCTGCAGCATTCCACCCAGGTGTGTGCACCAGGGCATGAGTGTTCCTGGCACCCCTGAGAACTACTCTCATTTTAGACTTCCCAGATAGGGGATCAGAATCCCAGGAGTCCCAGGCCGGAGAGATAGGACGGCGGGTAGGGCCCTTGCCTTGCATGCGACCCACTCAGACCCAATCCCTGGCACCCTATGGAGACCCCCCAGCCCCCTGGGCACTGCCAGAAGCGATCCCTGAGTGCAGAGGCAGCAGTCAGTCCTAAGCACCTTGTGTCTTGAGTACACTGATGGTGTGGACACCGAGTCCTGGGGGCAACCCCGGTTCCAGGGAGGGTCTGCTAGCACCAATTCTGAGCTCAAGCACTAAGGCTGGGTGGGAGGGGGTAAACTGGGGGTGGGTGCTTGGTTACCCCCAAGCCCCTCTCTGTTCCCTCCCAGGATTTCCGCGTGGGGCTCCAGAGCCCGTCCTCAGAGGCTCGCGAGGCGAAGGGCTCCAACGTGCCAGGCAGTCAGTGAGTGGCAGGCAGAGCCCCGGTGGGCGGGCGAGGGGGGCGCGGGGTTCCGGGGGCTGAGTGTAACCTCCCTCTCCCTAGGCCGCAGGGCGCCTTGGGCCTGGAGGTGGAGGAAGAGGAGGAGGAGGTGGAGGAGGAGGAGGAGGAAGAGGGGGTGCATGACTGGCAACAAGGAGACTTTGACAGCTTCTCCGACGATGAGGAGTCGGAAAACCTGGACCGAGAGACTTTCTTCTTTGGGGATGAGGAGGAGGATGACGATGAGGTTTATGACTGAGGTGCACGGGGCACAGGGAGCATTTGTAGCCCCCGTGGTGAGGGGTCGCCCCACCCTCATTCGGGAGGATGCCATTTCCCGGCAGCACCTTCTTCTGTTTATTCAATAAACTCCTATTTTCCACGTAGTCCCACGGGCTGCAGCATTGCCACGGGCCCGCGTCTGCGCCCCAACCCCAGATTTGCATTATTGCTTGGCGTTGGTCTGAGGCACGGACTGACGGCAGCACTGGTGGCAGGGTTTCACACGTACAGTATTCCGGTACCACACGGCCAGCAATGAGCCCTACCCAGCCTGTCTCCCACCCACTGCTGCTTTACTCTCAGTGGGCTTCTTTTTCCTTTTCTTTTTCTTTCCTGCAGGGGCACCACACCTGCCACACTCAGGGCTTACTCCTGGCTCTGCATCCTGGGATCACCAGTGGTGGTGCTCAGTCGTGCCTTAACCCCTTGAATAGGGCGCACACCTGCCCTGCCCCTTGGTGCTGGGGATGGTACTCAGTGCCTGTGCAGGTTTCTCTCCTGTGGGGATCAAATCCAGGGTGTCGTACATGCCATGCACCTGGAGCTGCGACCCTGCCTTGCAGGGCTGCTTCCTCCCGACCTGCACCCCCTAGAAGGCCTGAAGCGGGGCGGTGGGCCTAAGCTGATCCAGGGAAGGGGCCCTGCGAGGCTGCCTGGCTGCAGAGGACACAGAAGAATGGCCAGCCGGCTGCCTTGCTGCACACTCCGCGGGTCTCTGCATCTCAAGAAGGAGCAGAGGTGCAGACGGAAGGGACGTGGAGGGGTGTCTGCCCCTTATCCACCCTCAGAGAGCAAGTGTGAACTAGAAACACACCTTTTATTTCATTCTCGTTATTGGTTTTGGGCTACAGCCAGTGTTGCTCAGGGCACACTCCTGGCAGGACTTGGGGGACCATGTGGCGTGCCAGGGATCAAACCCAGGCCAGGTACGTGAAAGATAAGCGCCCAGCCCACTGTCCTTTTCACCACGGCCTTTTAATGGGGTGCTGGGGCAGAGAAGCTTCTAACACAATGTGACGTCAAGCAGTTGAGTCGGGAGTGGCCACCTCCTGCTCAGGAGGGTGGGCCCCGAAGTACCGGTCCAGGGTGGCCTCCACCTCGCCCTCCTCATAGTCCCACACCTGGAAGCGAGTGCCATCCACCGCGCCCCGAATCATGGCTGAAAGCACTGCAGGGACAGAGGAAGATGAAGGAACTGCCCTCCCCGTCCCATGAGCCCCCCTGCCCCTTACCGAGTGCTCACCTCGGCCAGACTGAGGGCGGAACAGGCACAGGATTTGCTTGTTGAGGGCCACGGCTCGGCCCAGCTCGTAGCCCACACCCAGGGAGGGCTGGGTCACCTCTGCCACCACCACTGGGAAGAAAGATGACGGAGGGCGCCAGAGCGACAGGACAGCGGGGAGGGCATTTGCCTTGCACGTGGCACCCCAGATGCCCCCTCCCCCACCCGTCAAAAAGATGAGCCAAAGTGGGAGCTCTCACACCCTAGAGGTGTTTGACCAGGGGTGGAGGTGGGCGTCACACTCACCATCTGCCTGCTGCAGCCAGGTCAGGTCTCGCTCATGGATGAGCCTGTCGCCCCCAGCAGCCTCTTCCCCTGCCGTGGAGAGAACAGTGGTCAAGGCCCTCAGCACTCTGCCCTTCTGCAGGCCAGCCCAGCAGCACAGGGCAGGATGGACTGCAGCCTGCGCAAGGTGGGCTTGACGGCTGTGAAGTCAGCTGCATCCCGATAAGAGCAAGAGGAAGAGGGCCCAGGTTTGGGAACGGAAACGGGTAACAGGCGTTGAGAGTCTGGGCAGGGCCAGGGAAGGAATGGCAGCACCCAGCATGGTGCCCAGAACCGCCTGAGGACCGGATGAAAGCCCCCACCAGGATTTCTCCTGGCCTCAGCGTCCAGTGCTGGCACCCACCCAAGCAGACTGCAGCGGGGCCCAGCCTCCCAGCTCAAGACTACAGCCTCATCCCAGGTGCTCTGCAAAAAAGGGGCCTTAGACAATTCCCCTCAGGGGACCTTTGAGCCAATCCAAGTGGGAGAAACCAGGCGAGGGTTCCAGGCCTTGAGCAGTGACCAGAAGCTTCACCATCTTCGAAGCACACAGATCCATCCTAGGCATCCCCGTACTCTAATAGTCTGCTTTTCTTTTGGATTTGGAGGCCCCACATGGCATGCCCAGGGGTTATTTGGTCTCTGGGCTTAGAACGACGCTCAGGGGGCATAAGTGGTGCCAAAGATTGAACCCAGGTTAGCCTCATGCAAGGCAAATGCTCTACTCACTTTACTATTTCTCTTGCCCCTGTGTGTTACTTTTTTTTTTTTTTTTTGGGGGTAGGAGGCTACATCCAGCAGTGCTCAGGGGTTACTCCTGACTGTACTAAGGGCTCACTCCTGGAGGATTCAGGGGACCACATGGGGTGCTGGGGATCTAACCCTGGCCACGTGCCGGCAAGCACCCTACCTGCTGTTCTATCGCTCCAGCCCCTTACGTTACTTTAACCCCAAAAGTAGTAAAATGATACTATGGGAGCATCAAAAATAATAAAACACTAGGGGCTGAAGCAATAGGACAGCAGGTACAGCAGGTACAGCGTTTGCCTTGCACTTGGCCATCCCGGGTTAAGTCCCTTCGTTCCTTATGGTCCCTGAGCACCAGGAATGACCCCTGAGCACAGAGCCAGGAGTAACCCTTGAGCACTACTGGGTGTGGCTCCCCCAAAACAGCAAAAATAATATAACACACAATAATGACTTTAACCAAGGAGGTTTAAAAATCCACAAAAAATAACACACTTATAAAAGAATTAGAAAAACAAATGGAAGTATCCCGGGCTCAACGATTAAAAACAGTATTATTAATATCTTCATACTACCCAAATCATCTACAAATTCACAACAATCCCTGTCAAGATGGCATTTTATTTTTTGGGGGGGTTGGGTCACACCCAGTGATGCTCAGGGGTTCCTCCTGGCTCTACACTCAGGAATCACTCCTGGCGGTGCTTGGAGGTCCATATGGGATCACAGGGATCAACCTGCGTCAGCCACGTGCAAGACAAATGCCCTCCCCACTGTACTATCAGACCGGCCCTGAGACGATATTATTTTTATTAAAGTAGGAAAAAATCTTAAAATGTGGTTTCCCAGAGGAACCACACAAAGGCTCTGAATTTCCAAAACAATTCTGAGAAAGGAAGAGACATCCTATTTCCTGACTTCCAGCTACATTATAAAGTAAAGGATTAAAACGTTATAAAGTATAGGATGGTACCAGGACCTGGAGACCTAGTACAGGAATTAAGGTACTTATCTTGCACTTGCCAACCCTGGTTCAATCCTTGGTATCCCATATGGCCCCTGAGGACCACCAGAAGTGATCCCTGAGCACTGACTGCTTGTGGCCCAAAAATCAAAATCAAAATATAAATAAAGGTGCGCCCCCCCGGGTCTGGAATGATAGCACAGCGGGTTTGCCTTGCATGCGGCCAACCCGGGTTCGATTCCCAGCATCCCATAGGGTCCCCTGAGCACCGCCAGGAGTAATTCCTGAGTGCTGAACCAGGAGTAACCCCTGTGCATCACTGGGTGTGACCCAAAAAGCCAAAAAAAAAAGTGGGCCCCCCCCACTACAACCAAGTGCGCAAGCACCATGAACAAGAGCAATTGACCCCTGGCGACTGTAACAGCAGCAACAGAGGGAAGGGAAGTGGGGGCGGCCTAAAAGGAATAGAAACAGTGAAAGAAACCCAGCCGGAAAGGGCGGGGCTACATGCTCTGCCTGCACAAGGTCCAGCTTTCATCCCTCAGCACCACCAGGGAGTGACCCCTGTGCACCAAGCCAAGAGTAGCCCGAGCACAGCTGGCTGTGGCCCAAGACCAAGCGACACCCCCAACCCAATAAAAAATCTTCCTCAGGGGATGGCTCAAAGTGCTGAGCCGTGCCCAGCATGCAAGCGGTCCAGGTCAATCCAGTACATGTCTCCACCCCAGCCCCAGCACGGAGTAAGCCACCCACCCACCCACTCTCCCACCGCCCTGCACTTTGGTATGTTTAAAACTGTCAGGAAATGCTAAAGGGTCTCATACCATGGAAAGAAAACTTTTCCTTCACCCCCTCTTTTTTGAAGGGGGCCACACCCAGTGGTGCTCAGGGCGTACTCCAAGCTCTGTGCTCAGGAATCACTCTAGGTGCTGATCAGGGGACCGTATGTGAAGCCAGGATCGAACCCGGGTTGGCCACATGAAAGGTAAGCACTCTACCCACTGTACTATCATTCTGGGCCTTTTCTTTGCTTAAAAAACAAAATGAAACTGTAGGGTAACAACTGATTTGTCCTTTTCTCCCTTGCCACAAGGAGCTTAGGTTTATCAGGTTACACCCATCACAGTGCTCCCGAGTCACTCCCAATCCTTAGTTTGTCTGTAACCACTTCTCTGTGCTCTCTTCCCCAACCAGTTAATCAGCTTTTCCCCAATCAGAATCTGTTCATTTGTTGGTCAGATCCTTCTAGGACACTGAACTTGTATTGTAAATTAATATTGCCTTTCTCCTCTCCTTATGTCTTTTGAACAGTTTACTTTAAAGCAATGTCCTTTTTGTATAGATACAGGAAGACCGTTAACACTATGCTTTGTAACTTAGGATTTAATTGGCTTTGAATATTATTCACTCCTGGGCATCTGCTTTCTCAAATTAAACCTCAGTTGCCCTCACTTCCTAGCACCCCCAAAAGCAGTATCCCGACGAGGGACTGGATGGAACCAGGGCAAGTGGTTAAGCTATGTGCTACCCTAGCATTGAGATGAGCCAGGCCAAAGTGCCACGATTCTTTTTTTTTTTTCTTTTTGGGTCACACCTGGCGATGCACAGGAGTTACTCCTGGCTCTGCGCTCAGGAATTACCCCTGGTGGTGCTCAGGGGACCATATGGGATGCTGGCAATTGAACCCGGGTCTGCCGCGTGCAAGGCAAATGCCCTACCCGCTCTGCTACTGCTCCAGGCCCACAATTCTTAAGTATAAGTTAGGAGTCTGATCATAGACAAATGCTGTCATGATCCAAAAGTAACAATGATACTAGGACCCTGCTAGGGACGGGAAAGACTATCTGGCCTGAGCACTGTAGTCTGAGATCGAGATGGCCCTAGGAGAGCAATTCTATAAGCTTAAAGTATTTCTTACTGTGTCCATACAAAATAATTTATATTATGTATGCTTATATGTTTGTTGGACAAGGAGATGAGAAACACACCCAGGGGATTCTGTTCCAGGGTGGGTTGATCTGCTAAATGAGATTCTGTCCTAGAAGCAGCTTTCCCGTGTGTCCTGACTAGTTTGGATGAGGCTGAACATTTTCCCCTCTCAAACTGCCTTCAGTAAATAATTTCAGTATATTGTAGGAGGCAGCTTTCCTTTTCTCACAGAAACCTAGCTGGTCTTAGATATGCAGATCTCAGGTGCTAGCCAGGCCTGATCTTTGGGATGTAGATTCCAGGCTCAGATGCTTGTCTTTGGGATGTAGATTCCAAACTCTAGCAGACTGGTCTTTGGGATGCAAATCCAAGTGCTTGTAGCTTGTGAAAGGTTTCTGTCTTGGCTTTCTATCTTCTTTCCAGAGGCCACAATTACTGGCCTGCAGATGTAAAGAAACAACGTATGTTTTGCCTTTTTGGCGCCTCAATGTTCTTTTTCTAACTCCTTTTGATGACATCACTGTATTGCGCCCTTGAGAGGTCCCATGATCTATGTAAGGGGATTTTCGGGGCTCTCTGAGGGAGCACGTGCTTGAGAGAACCTGGAGGTGATGATCTGAGAGAACTTGGGCCCTCCATGACACAGATTTCTGTTATGGGATATAATGAGACTGTAAGAATGGGCTGGGAGCGGCAGAGGGGGAAGAGGAGTGAACGGAGAGGACGGGAATAAACTGCAACTAAGACCAACCAGCCTGGCCCTCCTTTGCTTCCTTCCCCTGCCCATTGCCATCGACCTCCCTGGGGTGGGGGAAACAGCCTGAGACTACTGAACGCGGGCGGCGGGACGGGAGAGATAGACCACCGCCATCCTTTTGTGTTTACACGACGTCCCTTTTTTGTGTTTACACACAAAACACCTATAACAAATTTGGGGGTAAGCCTTTCACAACATTATGCTGTAACCATCCAGCCATTAATTAGGCAGCACGCTACCCACACGCTGAGGATGGCAACCAGCTCAATACAGCTGCAGGGAATGGCAGGGCAGGGCAGGGCACACAGCTGGGAGGTAGGGGAGGGCAGAGCACATCCCCACACAGAGATGGAGAGTGTGTGTGTGTGTGTGTGTGTGTGTGTGTGTGTGTCTGTGAGGAGTATGTGTGTGTGATGCGTGTAACAGGGGTGTGTGAGTGATAGGAACGTGTGTGATGAGTGTGTGTGAGACAGGTGTGTGAAGGTGAGCAGCAGGGTTGTGTGTTTATGTGATGGATGCTTGTGAGTGACGGGTGTGAGTGATGGGGTATAAGTGACAGGTGTGTGACAAGAATGTGTGTGACGGGTGTGTGTGACGAGGTGCTTGTGTGTGACAGGCATGACACGAGCGTATGATGGGTGTGAGTGGCAAATGTGTGACAGTGTGATGGTTGTGTGTATGGCAGGGGTGTGTGTGTGTGTGGTAGGGGTGTGTGACTGCTATGTGTGTATTAGGGATATGTGTGTGACGGGTATGTGTGTATGAGTTACAGGGGTATATGTGTGAATGGCAGGGGTGTGAGTGATGTATGCGTATGTGTGACAGGTGTGTGAGGGTGTGTGTGATGGGTGTTTGTGTGAATGATGGGTATGTGACACGTGTGTGTATGATGAGTGTGTGACAGGAGTATGTGAGTTGTAGGGGTGTTTGACAGGTATATGTGATAGGGATGTGTGTGTGACGGGGATGTATATGAGTTACAGGGGTATGTGAGTGGCAGGGAAGTGTGTTAGAGATGGGTGTGTGTAAATGATGGGTGTGTGTGACGGATGTGTGAGACTGAAAGGGATTTGTGTATGTGTGTGGCAGGGGTGTATGTGACAGGGCTTGTGAGTGACTGGGGTGTGTGTGTGACGAGTGTGTGAGTGGCAGGGGTGTGTGTGACAAGGGTGTGTGTGTGTGACGGTGTGTGAGTGGCAGGGTTTTGTGTGTGTATGTGTGTGTGTGTGTGTGTGTGACGGGCGTGTGTGAGTGGCAGGGTCGTGTGTGTGAGCGGCAGGGGTGTGTGTGTGACAAGGGTGTGCGTGTGTGTGTGTGTGTGGGCGCCGGCCGTGTGAGCGGCAGGGGTGTGAGTCCGGCTCCCGCGGTGCCCGGCAGGGGCGAGGGTCCCGCGCCCGCCCGCCCGCCCGCCCGCCGCGCCCCGGGCCTCACCACGCGCGCCCAGCTCGGCGGCCGCCACGTGCTCGGTGAGCACCGCCCCGAAGCGCCGCAGCCGCGCCACGATCCGCGCGTACAGCGCCCGGTCCTCGCGGCCGCCCCGGATGCTCCCGCAGAAGTAGAGCGCGCGGCGGCCCGGCGCCCCCGGCTCCCCGCCGCCACCCCGCGCCGCCGCCGCCGCCGCCGCCGCCATCCCCCGCGCGCCCCTCCTGCCGCCCGGGGCGGGGCCGGGACACGTGACCCGCAGGCGGGGCGGGGCGGGGCGGGGCGGGGCGGGGCGAGGCAAGCGTGGGGCGGGGAGAGGTGGGGCCGGGTGGGGAATGGGGCGGGGAGAGGCGGGGCCGGGTGGGGAATGGGGCGGGGAGAGGCGGGGGCCGGGTGGAAAATAGGGGCGGGGCAAGTGTGGGGCGGGGAGAGGCGGGGCCGTGTGGGAATAAGGGCGGGGCAAGCTTGGGGCGGGGAGAGGCAGGGCCGGGTGGGCATTAGGGGCGGGGCAAGCGTGGGGGCGGGGAGAGGCGGGGCCGGGTGGGAAATAAGGGCGGGGCAAGCGTGGGGCGGGAAGAGGCGGGGCCGGGTGGGGAATGGGGCGGGGCAAGCGTGGAGCGGGGAGAGGCGGGGCCGTGTGGGGATAAGGGGCGAAGCAAGCGTGGGGGCGGGGAGAGGCGGGGCCGGGTGGGAAATAGGGGCGGAGCAAGTGTGGGCGGGGAGAGGCGGGGCTGTGTGGGGATAAGGGCAGGGCAAGCTTGGTGCGGGGAGAGGCGGGGCCGGGTGGGCATAAGGGGCGAGGCAAGCGTGGGGGCGGGGAGAGGCGGGGCCGGGTGGGAAATAGGGACGGAGCAAGTGTGGGCGGGGAGAGGCGGGGCCGGGTGGGCATAAGGGGCGGGGCAAACGTGGGGGCGGGGCAGGGAGTGGGGCGGGGCTGGGGGCGACTGGGAGAGGCGGCGGGGCGTCGTGGTAGTGGAGGGTGGGAAGGGGGAGTGGTGGGGGAGGGGCAGGAGGCGGGAGAGGGGAGTCGGGACGTGAGAGGTGGGGGTTGCGGAGGCGCCGAGTGCGGACGCGGAAGGTTTGGGCTGGAGCACGCGGCCTCCCGGTGACCACACCTGGGAAATGCGGACTGTTGTGGGGCGTGGCAATACCTGGCCTTTGGACTTTTTGTTTGTTTGTTTGGGGGCCACACCCGACTGTGCTAGAGCTGACTCCTGGCTCTGTGCTCAGGAATCGCTCCTGGTGGGGTCCCGGGGACCGAAAGGGATGCTGAGGATCTAATCAGAGTCAGCAGCATGCAAAGGCAAATGCCCCGCCCCCTGGATTATGTCTCCCCTCCTTTTAATTTTAATGTACCCAGTCTGAAGGCGGGGCCACCCTCCTCCCAGCCACCGTCAAGTTGCCCTCCCCCCACCTTCCTCTTAAGTAACAGTTTCATTTAGGAAAGGTGAGAGAAACCCCATAAAGTCAAGGACAGAATCGCGCCTCCCAGGTAGGGATTCACAAGCGAAGGTCAAGCGTTGCCTTTAACGGGGCTTTGTCATCTGCAGCCTTAGAGGAGCTGGTAGAAGCCGACCGATCTCCGCGGTGGGTGACGGGCAAAAAAAATCAGTCTCACCAGAAGTGCCCGTGGGCATGGAAAGGAAGCAACTCTAAGAGACAAACTTCAGGAAAGCAGAGGGTACCTGGCAGAACGCCAGTCGAGACCCCATCCCATTCCACACAGGAAAACATCATCTGTGGTTTCTTCTGAATTCTTCCTGAATGTAGCTATGAACATATCAAAGAAAGGGGTGACAGAGCAGATAATAATCAGCATTAAAATGCAAAGTCGGGGGCCAGAGTGAGAGTACAGAGAATAGGGCGTTTGCTTTGCACACAGCTGGCCGGGGTTCAATCCTTGGCATCCAGTATGGTCCCTGCCTGAAGCACCACCAGAAATAATTCCTGAGTGCAGAGTCAGAAGTAAGCCTTGAGCACTGCTGGGTATCTCCCCCAAACCAAGAAAATGACAATAATAATGATGATACTTTTTTTTTCTTTTTTGGGTCACACCTGGCGATGCTCAGGGGTTACTCTGGGCTTCGCACTCAGGAATGACTCCTGGCGGTGCTCAGGGGACCATATGGAATGCTGGGAATCGAACCCGGGTCGGCTGCGTGCAAGGCAAACGCCCTACCCTCTGTGCTATCACTCCAGCCCCAATAATGATAATAATTAAATGCAGAGTGAGGGACAGGAGGTCTGGACATCATCCCAAGAACTATTGGGACTGATCCCAGGTAGTACTGTCAGGGGCGTGCCACCCCCCACCCCCCCCCCACCCCTGCAATACACAAACACAGCTTTGCACAATGGCAGTGTCCTAGCCAATAAGGTTAATCTGAGATGTGATTCTTGCCAATGAAAAGCTTCCCAATTCCCTGCCTCAAAACCTTGCAATACAATCAGCCTTGCCAATTTTCCTCTCTTTTTCTTTGGCTCAGAGTCACACCTATCAATACTCATCGCTTAGTCCTGGCTCTGCCCTTAGTGCTGGCAGGGCTCTGGGGACCACATGGGGTGCTGGGGATGAAACCAGGGTCAGCTGTGTTCAAGGAAAGCATTCTACTACTGTCTGAACTATCACGCTAGTCCCAGCCTTGGCAATTTTTGACAGTCTGTAGAGATGCTGAATTTAAAAATAAAATTTAAAAACACAAAGAGAACACAGAAATTTTATGGTATTTCTCTCCACCGAGGGGCCCATGAACGTTTTACAGAGACCATGGGTCAAATATTTCTACCCAGCCGGGCACTGTGAGTGGAGGTACACGTATCTCGGGCCCACGTACATACACCAGTGAACCTTTAGAAACTTCAGGATGGAAACTTTCCATTCCCATGACTTAATCCCGCTCATATGTTCCCTTCAGTTTTCCCACAGGTGATGAACTGTCCTCACGTGCAACGCGCACACACACACACACACACACACACACACACACACACACACACACATGTCCTGAAAGAAGTAAACCTGGGTCCTGGAAGATAGTTTAATGGCTGAAAGGCTCATGGTCATGAGTTCAACATGCGTAGAGGTGATCCTGACTCTATCTGGCTGTTTGTGGTTCCCAAGCATGAGTGGCTGGAGATAGCTGAATGGCTTTAAGGTTTTTTTTTGGGGGGGGGTCGTTTGTTTGTTTGTTTGGGTTTTTGTTTTGTTTTGTTTTGTTTTGCTTTTTGGGTCATCCCCAGCGATGCACAAGGGTTACTCCTGGCTCTGCACTCAGGAATTACTCCTGGCGGTGCTCGGGGGACCATATGGGATGCTGGGAATCGAACCCGGGGTTGGCTGTGTGCAAGGCAAATGCCCTACCCGCTGTGCTATCGCTCCAGCCCAATTTTATCTATTTTTAAGAAACTTTTGTGAGAGTCACAGCAAGTGGTGTTGAATGTGGTGCAAGGGATGAACTCTGGGTCACACACATGCGAGGCCTCACCCCTGTAAGCTATCTCCCTGGCCCCTGTTATTTTACCTCATTGCTTTATTTTCTGAGACAGTTAGCCCATGAGTACAGGATTAAAAATGTATTTTCCTGGGCCCGAGAGATAGTATAGGTGTTAAGACACTTGCTTCTATGCTGCCAACCCTGGTTCTATCCCTGAGCACTGCCAGGAGTGATCCATGAGCACAGAGCCAGGAGTAAGCCCTGAGCACTGTTGGTCGTGGGCCAAAGACAAAGGAAAGAAGGAAGGAAGGAGGGAAGGAAGGAGAGAAGAAAGGAAGGGAGAAAAAAGAAAACAAGGAAGGAGGAAGGAAGGAGGAAGGAAGGAAGGAAGGAAGGAAGGAAGGAAGGAAGGAAGAAGAGAAGGAAGGAGGGAAAGAATGAAGGAGAGAAGGAAGGAAGAACAAAGGAAAGATGGAAGGAAAAAAGGAAAGAAGGAGGGAGGGAAGGAAGGAAGGAAGGAAGGAAGGAAGGAAGGAAGGAAGGAAGGAAAAAGGAACAAAGGAAGAAGAGAGGGAGGGAGGGAGGGAGGGAAGGAAGAAAGGAAGGAGGGAGGGAGGGGAGGAGGGAAGGAGGAAGGAAGGAAGAAAGGGAGGAAGGGAGGAAGGGAGGAAGGAAGGAAGAAAGGGAGGAAGGGAGGAAGGGAGGAAGGAAGGGAGGAAGGAAGGAAAAAGGAACAAAGGAAGAAGAGAGGGAGGGAGGGAGGGAGGGAGGGAGGAGGGATCACGACCACGATCACGACCATCCTGTTGTTCATTGATTGCCTCAAGCAGGCCCCAGTAACGTCTCCTTCGTCCTAGCCCTGAGATTTTTTAAAAAGTGCCATATTCAAGGCTCTCTCAGGGTTAGGAGAATGAGACCCATCATTGTTACTGGTATTTGGCAGATTGGGTACGCCACGGGGAGTTTGCCAGACTCTGCCGTGTGGGCAGGTTACATTCGGTAGCCTGCCAGTTTGTCCAAAGTAAGAATGAGATAAGCTGGGTTTTATAGTCTCTGGTCTTGGCTGTTGATGGGATTACCTGGTGCCAGGGGCAGTTGGTGGGTGTGACCTCTGCCTACTGGAATTTGGAGGGTCTGGGTGGAGGATGCTCAGCCCCGATCCAAGCAGGCTTGGAGATCTCAGCCCCGGGACCCGCATGCCTTTGTTCCTCTGCCGGTACCTTCATGCGTGTGGAGAGTGGTCTCAGCATGGTGGTGGCTGGTTCTGGAGGTCTTCGGCTGCCGGAGCCCTGGTCGGGGCGGTGAGGGAACTCAACACGCTCCCCTCCAAGGGGCCCCGGCGAGGATGGGGGCAGGAGACTCTGCGCTGTTCTCTTCTGGGAAGGGAAAAATAAAAGAAGAAAGGCAGGCACTTTCTTGGTGGGATACTTTGTGATTAAAAACTGGGGCCTCCTGTCCATGACATTGAGTCACGTTCCCAGCCCCTCGGTGGTTTTATCTTCATGGTGTGACCCGCTTTCCTCCTAACACATTGGTTTTATGTTTAACATATTTTCACATTTTTAGTTTCAAACTTTCTGTGTTCCAAGTGTGCCTCTAATAATTAGCTTATAAAAAGCAGCATTTTGTGGGCCAGAGAAATAGCTCAATGAGCCGAGCCCCTGCTCGACATGTGGGAGACCCCAGTTCAATCCCTGGAACTGCATGATGTCCTGCATCACACCCTGAGCACTGTTGGGAGTAGCCCCCGAGCACCTTCAAGAGCGGCTCCCACCAAAATATACAAGCACAACAAAATGCAGTGTGGATTTTGTTGCTGTTGTTGTTAACAATCTAGACTTTGTGCTCTTTCTTATTTTGTGGGGTGGGGGTTCATATCCACCAACGCTTGAAGGCTACTCCTGGCTCAGTGCTCAGGACCATGTGATGCCAGGGTTCAAGCTAGGTGAGTACAAAGTATGAACTCAGCCCACTGAGCACTAAAGGCAGTATTTTTTTTCCCTTTATTTTATTTTATTTTTTTTTAAAGTTGTAGATTTACAATTTTTTGTGCTTTGGTTTCAATTATACAATGATCAGATACCCATCCCTCCACCAGTGCCCATTTTCCACCACCATGGATAATATCCCTCCCAACCCCATCCCCCCATCCCCCCTGTCTCTGTGGCAGGGCAATCCCCTGTGTTCTCTCTCTCCTTTTGGGTGTTGTGGTCTGCAAAAGAGGCATTGAGTGGCAAACATGTTCAGTCCATAGTCTACTTTCGACATGCATCTCCCCTCCTGGGAGGATCCTCCAAACATCCTTTATTTGGTGCTCCCTTCTCTATCTGAACTGCCCTTTCCTCTAGGATACCCGGTTGGCCTCTAAGTTATGGAGTAATCCTCCTGGTGCTGATCTCAGCTATTCTTGGGTATTAATCTCATACTTTGTTACTTTATATCCCCTAGATGAATGCAATCTTTCTATGTCTATCCCTCTCTTTCTGACTCATTTCGCTTAGCATGATATTTTCCATGTTGTACCACTTGTATTAAAGGCAGTATTTTTTTAAAAAGTTGGTTATTGGGGTTGGAGAGAGACAGTACAACAGGTAAGGCGCTTGCCTTGAACATGGCCGAAACCTGAATTCGACCCCCAGCATCCCATATGGTCCCCTGAGCAATGCCAGGAGTAAGTAACCCCTGAGCATCTCTGGGTATCCCATCACCCCCCAAAAAGTTGATGATCAGTCAGGAAATTTTATTCGTTTATATTTATTGTGTTCCTTATGTCTGTTTTTTCCCCAATTGTCTTCTTTCCTGCTTACCTATTTCTCATTCCTTTATGATGCTTTTTTCTTAAAAATTGAGATGGGGCAGAGAGATAGCACAGGAGTTAAGACACTGGCCCTGCATTCTGCTGACCCCGATTTGAATCCCCAGCACCACACACAGTCCCCCAAGCACAGAGCCAGGAATAGTCCCTTAGCACCCCTGGGTGTGGCCCCAAGCCACACCAACCCCGCAATAAAAAAAATAGATTGAGATAGAGGATATGAAACCCATTCGCGGCCGCGCGACATCTTATTATCTCATTCTTACTTTGGGCAACCAGGCTACTGAATGTAGCCTGCCCACACGGCAGAGTCTGGCAAACTCCCCGTGGCGTACCCAATATGCCAAATGCCAGTAACAATGATGGGTCTCATTCTCCTAACCCTGAAAGAGCCTTGAATATGGCAGTTTTTAAAAAATCTCAGGGCTAGGATGAAGGAGACGTTACTGGGGCCTGCTCGAGG